CAGCCCCGCGGTAGGGGCAAACAGACAGTCGAACTTGGGGGCAGGCCACCCACAGAGCGATATTCTGTTTGTTGTTGTTATTTCTCGCCTTTAAAATGGATTAAATACATAGGTTTATATAAGTAGAAGCCCCACAGAAAAAAGTACTCATTCTTTGTTTTTGATTGATTTATTTAACGAACAACTCCTTAATGATTTTGTTTCTTTTTTCAAACGCTTATTATCCGTCAATGGGGGAGTATTTTGTTATTTTTAACAGAGTCTTCATCAATTTTAAAGCTAGTTTAATAATTGTTGGTGTTTTTGCAAATTACCATACAAAAATAATATTTTAAAGCTACGCCTACAAAATTGCTGCCATCCCCTGCACTTACACATAATCAACTAGGGTCCTTCGCAACAATCAGATCAGATAATTGGTTAGAAATGAAGTAGATACATTTTTAGATATTTATGTAAGCTTTGATATTCTTGTGAGTCATAACGATTATTAAATTATCTGAATGTTTATCACTTTTTCATTAAAAACATTTAATGCTGTACCACAATGTGCTTACTACTCTTTGCCCCTTGTTAACCAAGACGAAGATATAACCTTAAGTAAATTCTAAAGGTAAGTGTTAATAATATATTATATCATTATTATTTATTTAGGTAAGCATATAGTAACAAATTTCTTAAATGTTTCCCTTAGCTAGCACCCAGTAGAGGAGTAAACGAATGCATTAATTTCTATCTATTGCGTATCTTCTGGTTGAGCTGACTTAGCTATCTCTTGTATCTCTTGGATTAGTCGTTGTTTCATTTATATTGTTTCTTTTTTTGTTTTGTTGGCACGCCTAAAAGCATGCAAATGTTTTGTGCCTTCGATAAACGCATTACGAGCGTCTTAGCCATCACTTAACAAGTTGGCAGCTGGCAGCAGGCTCTTAACTGTTCTTCAAGCTGTTAGCTGTTAGCTGTTACGCCCTGAAAAGCCGCTTAAAGTTTTAGTTAATTTAAACACAGAAAGCTCAAAGAACCCGACAAATATGAGCACAAATGCACGAGAACAGGCCACTCGAGTTGTGGAAACGCTGTGCCCATTTTCGCTTTAAGGGAAGAGGGGTATTTCTGTGTCGCGGTCTTAATTACAAGGCAGGCTTGGGCTTTGTCTTGGTCTGCAGCTGGAGCTTGTCTGCATATGTGACCTACTTCCGGCAGCACAAAAGAGACCCGAATTGCAAGGAAGGCGATGATGAGGATGACGAATACGACGCTGGTTGCCATGTCACATAAATAGGCTTTAGTGACGACGTCAGCTGCAAAGGTGTGAATGCAGCAGTAGCAGGGTAGCGGAATGACGAAGAGGAGCCAGGTGTGAGAGTTGTCATGACATTTGTTGCCGCACTTGGGTCGGGTTTCATTATGCTGCTTGGGCTGCTGGTGCAGCTGCAGGTGCTGTTGCAGCCATTGAGTATGCCCTATTTCACCTCATTTTTAAATCGTGGCTTATTTTTAGCATAATAAATTTCATATGCAAATATTTATGTAGTGGTCGCACACTCACACTTTGTGTGTATTGTGCATTGCACCTAGTGATATTTCAACCTGTGCTCATTGCAACACCAACACTCAGACACACACACGAGTCGTGTTCGTGTTGCCATAATGCATTAGAAGCGACAAATGACTTTACGTTGTAAATGCACAGAGAGAAATCAGGGGTAATCAGGGTTCAAACTCATGTTTTTCCTACTTAAATTATACAATCCCGATCTTAGTAACCAAGTTGAAAATGATTAAGATCGAGTAAGCTTTAAAGGCGATATTTGAAATTGGGAATTTTGTATTTTTGCTAATTTCAAATGAATGCACCGAGAAAAAAAAAGATGTGAAAATTACTGACTACTTGAGCTTAATTTGTGTAAAACATTTTATTTTCCGGTGCGCAATCGGAAGGAGCAAATTTATGTGCGTGTGTATGTGTGTGTGAATGTGTTATTGTTTGTGTGTTTTTGGCAGCGCATGGTGGCCAACAAGTAGCTCATAATGCAAAAGCGAAAACACAACAGCAGCGAACAACAAAGGTAACGGGAAAGGGAAGGGGAAGGGGGAACACCGGCTGCCAGCCCAAAAACAATGCCTGGAAATGAGGTACACACACACACACACACGTGCATACACACACGCATGCAACATGACGTCGGCATGTTTTGCACGCGCTGCACCACGTAGCAGATTGCAAATGGCAGGTGGCACGGTTCAGAGTTCGAGTTCAGGTGCAACTTGTTGTTTCGTTTTGGGTCGCCTATTTTTTTTTTCTTTTTTTTTATGGCCGCAGTTATTTTATGCCATTTGCATCTTGCACCAGCCACAACCGGCAAAAGCAAAGCCAAATTAGCCTGGCAATAATATTATGCCAACAAAATTTGTTGAGGCCATTTTATACGTTTCATGCCAGTGCCTTATTTTGATGTTTGCAACTTGTTCGACCAACAACGAAAAAGGGGCATAACTTTTCAATTTCAGGTGCCAGACCAACAAGAACTGTATTTAGTTTCTGGCATATGCGTGTGTGTATGTGTCTCTACGTGTGTGTGTGTGTGTCTGTGTGTGTGTGTGTGTGTGTGCGAGTTTGTTTGTTATGCAAATACATATTTCAGCTGGCTGTCGTCTAGCTTCTGCTGCCATTGTCAACAGTGTGTAGAACTCCAACCGATACCTGTGTGTGCATGCATGTGGCATATGGGCTTATATTTAAATAACCGTTATATTCACCTGTCAAATTTTCCATTTAAAGTTTTGCACTGGCACTCGTAACAGTTGTCCCCCTCCCCCTCCATCCACTTGACGCACTGTACACAAGATTTCAGAACAGAACACAAACTTTTCCATTTTCATTTCCATATCGCCTCAGCTCCCGAATTTGTCTCTCTGTGTCTCTGTCTGCCTTTCTCTTAATGGTCTAGTTCATCGAAAAGGTAAGCCAGCTACTAAAAGAGTCTGTGTAAATAAAGATGAATAAAGAAAGTAACTTTTTATCTAGGTTCGTCTGATTGGCATTCATGCAAATTCAACACCCTAAAACGAAGGCTATAGAAAAGTGAAAAGCAGTCTCCAGAGCATGTCAAGTGTTCTTCTTCTGAGACTGACATCTAGAACTTTTAGGCCAATATCTACAAATATGTGAGAATTAAACTAATGAATAAAGCAATTCAACACCTTAAAGCGACTCCTATAGAAAAGGAACTGTAGAGTGTGTCAAGTGAGCTAATTAATAGAAAATCTGTAAGTATTGTGGACTATAATTTATATATTTTTTTTCCTTACCTACATAGGTATCCAAATGTTGTTAAGAAATTAAATGATTTCAAAAGACAAGTGATATACATTTATATGTTAATATAGACTTTATTTATATGTAGTTGTTGTTTGAAAAATGTTTACAAAATAATCAAATATACATATTACATATACATATGAGTACGTATCTAGTCACATATACATTGAATGCAGAAAATGTTTCATTTTTTTGTGGGTTATCTTTACTTATCGCTTGTAACTGTAAGATCTGTGCTGATCTGTGGATCGAGAAAGTAGAATTGTACACTCTTATTTCGTTTGGTTTTTTCTTTATGTTTTTTTTTTCTTTTTGTTTTCTTTTGGTTTTTCTTTGTTGCATTGCATTAACTAAATACAATTAAGTACATAACTAAATATTTATATATATATATAGTTAAATTACACATACGAACGCACATATACATATACATACTAGAACATCATCATTATATCATTTATATACTAATCGTTTGGACTCTAAGCATTTGGAGTGGGTTGGAATCAGAGCGGAAGGGTGGGGAGGGGTTGGGCAGTTCGGGTTTTTAGTTTTTCGTAAACGAAAATCGCATATATTGTAATTAGTGGCAAAAAGTGTTGTCGGTTGAATATTTCTTGTCTTCCATTTTTTTACTCTGCATATTTTGTTTTTGTGTATATGTATTATTTACTATATATACATATAGGTATGCATATATATGTATGTGTGACGCACTGATTTAATATATTAATTATAAGTACGTTTGCCTTGCCGTTTTGTGCATTTGGCCATGAGTTTTGAATTAAACCTTCAATTTTTATTTGTTTTTTTTTATTAAATTTTGTTTTGTTTTTCTATTATTATTGGCAGTCCCTCGGCCATGCAAGTGACTTATTTTAATTAAATCTTTTAAAAGCTGTTTCGAGTAAATTGTTTTATTTATTATATTATTTTAGTTCTTTTTTTTTTTTTGTATTTTTAAATCAATTTGCTTGCTTACATACAATTGTATCTGTTTTTTCCTCAAATATATAGCAGCAACAGCTGCCGTAATTTATCATAATTTATGTACTTCTGCATTTGACTAGTTGAATATTTTGCCTAGCTTTTAATTTACTAAAAATTATAGTACAGGATGCCACCACTTGTCAGTAACCAATAAAGAACCGGTGCTTGTGTAGCATTTTGCATTGTTTTTATATATATATATACCGATATTTGTATATAGTATATAATTGGAATTAACTTGGGTGCAATTTATGTACAAAAGAAAGAGAAATGTTGAGAAATCCTGGAAGAAAAACAACCTTGGTCGCACCCTGTTTGATGCTGAATTCGAATGCATAATTTATGTTATAAATTTGCTATAATAATATATTCATATATATGTATATTCATATATATTATATATGCATATCATATGGATTGCCTGGCCTTTAAAGCAGCACAGCTCCAATTTCAATTCTAATTATTTACACTTATGTATTACAAAGCTTTAAGTTATCGACTATGTGTGGGCTCTTGTGTTGTATGTGTGTGTGTGTGTCTGAGAGTGTATTTATGTAATTTACATGTAGAAATCAAAGCTTATTAAATTACTCGCTTGTATTTATGCTACTTAAGTTCTACAGACATCAAAATAGCAAAAAGCTAGAAAAAACTGCGATTTGCTTTAGCAATTTTTTTTCTTTTTATTTATTTATTTTTATTTTTTTTTTGGAATTGAAATACAATCTTGTGTTTGGTATTCCATCTCAAAATGTTCGCAAATGAATACACAATTTGATGCTTTAATTTGTTTATTTTATGAATTCATTTTGTATGAGTACGAATAATTGGCTATGCACTGGAATGTTAATCAAATTAACACATACAAGTTACTAGATACTAGATACAAGATACTAGACACTAGATACAATTTATCGCTGACATACACACACAAAAGCAATGCTATTATGACAAGACATCATTTTAAATACGTTGTATGTGTGTATCTTCTCATTTTTTTCTCTCTTTTTCTTTTTCCTTTTTTTTTGCAATCCATTGTTTGTTGCATTGTTATATAATTCAACAAGCTTCCTTTTGTTTCATCGTTTATCATCCACTTGTTTTCCCGTTCACTTCTTTGGTGCAGTTGTTTACCTACTTCTAAAAGTATGCAATAAAATCTATTTACACTGGAGATTCGAGTGCTGAAATGTTGAGATATTTTATGTATCTATGTGTGTGTTTATGTGTGTGTGTGTGTGAGTGTATTTTGTAGTATGCACAGTTGATTATGCTATTACATTGATTGTATCGTAGTATATACTTATAAATGGTTCCATTGGATGCGATTTCTTTTTTTGGTTTCGTTAATGTTTGGAATGTTTCGTTCTGAGAAATTGCAAAAATTGAAAGTTGAGTTTTGAGTTGCGTTTGAGTTTGAGTTTGAGTTGGAGAAAATGTTGCATGTCTTAAGCTAGTTACAACTAGAGTTGCTTTTATCTGGCACACCTCATTCCTGTTGCCAATGTTTTCTTCTGTTTGCCATTAATAACTGTTTTCGAAAACAAAACCCGTTCAATTTTAATGCTATTGGCGGTGAAATTCGTTACTTAAATCCAAAAAGTTGTTTAGCTAAGTGTGCTGAGATCTAAGCCAAGATTAGCTTCAGCATTAGCGTAACGCCGCTCAATGTGACCAGACTCAATTTCTGTCGATTGACCGCACCGCTGCCATAGAAGGTCACACTCAGATCCCGCATCTCGTTATCTGCAATAAAATCGATAGATAAGAACAAAGAAAACAATTGAGCATAAATTGAACTGAATTTTCACTTAAATTTTTAAATGTATTCCAAAAATATACTTCAATAAGTCCATGGACAAAGCGAATTCAATCATTTCTTCATACATCTATATATATATATGTGTGTAGGTAAGTATATCGAATATATATACGTAAATCTTTTATTTTCAATATGCAGTTATAACAGAAATGCCATGATGCATGCAGATTGCAACGTTTCAAATGTTGCAAATGGGTTTTTTAAAATAACACACACACACATACACATACACACACTCAGTCACTAATACACTCAGAGAGACATACGCAAATATCTGTATATATATATATATATAAACCGAAATATTCGTGTTATCCATTTAAAGCACTTTTTGATATTTTTTGATGTTGCTTTATTCTTTATTCATTGCAAATTGAACAGAAAAAGAAATAAATTCTTGCCGCAAAACGCTTGGTAAACTGCAAATACGTACAAACATTTGCACACGTGTATACAATGCATATACAAACACATTTGCAATTTAAAAGAGTTTTTTTTATTGATTTCTTTATTTTTTAGGAAATATGGGCTTAACACAAATATGGCGATTTTTATTTAAAAAAAACATGCAGATATAAACCATGCAAATGAAAAGTGAAAAGGATAGATAGTTAGAAAGACAGAGAGAAAGAGAGAGAGAGAGCGAGCGAGCGGTTATGAGAGTTAAGCAGAGAGAGAGAAAGAGAGAGAGAGAGAGAGAGAAGTGGAAAAATAGAGATAGGCATAGGTAACTCGCAAACTAACCTGACTGACCGTGATTTAAGAATGTGGACAGATCGACAAGCACATCTGCAAATTGATATGTGTGATCAGTCATTTTCAGAAAAATATGACGATAGTACAGATAGCGATAGTTGCGATAGCGATAGCGATAGTTCAGATATATATAGTGCCATAAATATGTGTACAAACGAATGGATGGACGACAAAAAAAGAAGGTTTTAATTGCATTGGCATGAATTGACATTTAAATCAAATCCATTGCCGCAAATAAATCATTAACGCTTTAACTGCAAATGCGCAATCAGGGAGAAGTTTACTTTGCTCACTGAAGCGCAGATGGATGAAATGACAGCAGGCCAGGTGGATGGCCGGGATGGATTGTCGGGGTGGACAGCCAGGTCATATGCCTGAGTCTGTGTGCAGCTCATTTTGTGTAAGCCGCCAATTAAAATGGCAAACGTGCGACATCTGTCAATAATGACAAATGAACATTTCGCCATTAAGCTCAGCAGCCGGGCCAAAGTTGATGGCAATTGCAATTCCAGTTGCGATTCCTGGCCAGCATTGGCTGACCGGCCTGGCAGAAGTAAAAGAAACCCAGCGATAATGTCGATTGCAGGCAGCGAAGCCAACCAGGTTAAATGAATGCGCCCAGATGCAGAGCCAAGGCAACTGGGGCCTGCTTCAAGCAAGTTTAAATGTGTGTATATCTGTATGTGTGTGTTTGTATGTGCATTTGTGTGTGTTTGCTTATTGCAAAACTGTTACACGACAGCTGTCAATGGGAACGAGAGATGGGCGCTCAAAAACTTATACATATTTGATATTTGCCTGGCTGTCTGCCTGACTGCCTTGCCTGGCTGCCTTGCCTGGCTGCCTTGCCTGACTGCCTGCCTGCCCGGCAGCTAGTTCGACATTATCTAAAACATACAAATCTCATATGCGAATTGAATGCGGCTGTCAAAAGTGGAGGCGGCGCCAAGTATCCGTCCATGAACAGGAGTTGCTCCAAGCAGTCCATAGCACAGGCAACTACTGACATCCTTGACATGTTCTCATTTGCTGCTTTTGCGCACATGTTCAAGTCATTGCTGACACTTTTAATAGACAGACAACATTGGACAGTGGACCGGACATGGTATGTTGTATGCTGCTCTATTTGTTGCATGCTACACACACGCAGGATAGCTAATCTATTGAGGCATCTGTGTTGCCAGCGCATCAAAACACGACACGTTCAATTTAGAAAATTCTGCTGCACATCCTATAAATCCACTACACCGCCACAGACCCTCCGCTCGGCACTCATTCATTGGGCCCGCTTAGTTTAGCTAAGCAGACTTGCAAAAATGGCAAACGCATCGAATTACCATATAAATTCGCATACTGTCCACATAAACTACAGGCGAATTGACAATTGCGGCGCCAGCAAAATGCCAACAATTTTGTAATGAAAATAAACGCAGCCGCCAATGTGCTAGTGTGTGTGTGTGTGTGTGTGTGCTTATGCACTGAGAGAAAAACTGCTTCTAAATGCAAATACAAGCGGTGCATAACTTTCAAACTTTAGCTCTTTTCATTTCCAGTAAAGTTTGCTCGAAATATTTTTGGAGCATTTGTTGATTTATGAAGTTAACATTCTGTGCTAGCATCGTGTGAATTATATACAAAAATAATCAAATTATTTACATAACATTTGCGTGATTTTCTTAGTTTAGTTGTATTTTAAAATGATATCAGTATGAACATAAGATTTGTGTAATACTTTTTAGTATGGTTTTATTTAAATATTATTTATTTTGAAATCATATCAGGATTAATATGAAACAATTTAATATCTAACTCCAAACAATAAAGTTATCTTGAATAAAAGTAACTGGTTTCTAAGAACACAACTATTTTTATATGAATTAAAAATTAATTTTCTTATATTGAAATATTATTTTCTTTTAAAATACTTTTGAAGAAGAATGTAGAGTTTTATAGCTTAGCTAGATGTTGACAACCGTAATTCATCTATATTTTCTGTGTGTATTAATATGTATGTATGCGTAATTATGTGTGTGTGTGTGTGTGTTTGTGTGTCCAGTGCATCCCAGTGAGGCTAATGTTGCTGCTGCTTGCAGCAGTTCTGTCATTGCCATAGGCTGTCATTGGGTCTTTTATTGCTTGCGGTTTGGTGGCACAAAACCATAACCTCACTTGAGACTTCGTGTTTTACGTTGCGCGTTTAGTTCATAGCTAAGCATGCACCACAGCGGCAATATGGACGACACAGGCAACATGCAACGCTGTGGCATTTACCGCACTGGCCACCTTTCAGCACCTGGACAGGGGGGAATTTCGCTCTTGCTACGCCTCGATTGTGTTGTAAAATAGGTTTTTGTGCCGGCACCGGACACAACGCACTGTTCCCATAATAGCATTGCGGTCGGGCGCCAAATACACACACACACCCACACATATACACAGACACACACACACACACACACTCTAATGCACACACATTTACATTTGTATGTGCTGATAGGTGCATCAGCCAAATCCGATTCTTAAGCGTAACATTTTTTTTCTCCCAAATTTGTGTCCTTTTTTTTTTAGTGTGGGAATGGTGGGGATAAGTTGGGTTGGTGGGCAGGGGGCAATACGCATTTGCATTTCCAATGCCAGGAGCAACAGCAACATGGAGCTTACTGCACAAGCGGACACAGCACGGACACACAGCATAGGGGACGGACCGGAAACGGACAGCATTTTCCATCGCCAGATAAATCAGTCAGCGGATTTTTCGCTTACACTCGCACGAAAACTAGTTACTTTTGGATGTTTTGTGCATATTTTAAAATGTAAATGGATAACAACTGGTTAAGCGGATGCAGCGGTGCATCTAGTCATATTTTGTTGTGACAAGTTATATACACAATTAATGCACATCTCTAACTTAAATCAGGCTTGATATTTAGTGGAGATTAATAGATTTATATGTACAAAAACAAAGATGTGCAACATTTAACCCAGATCTTGTAGCTGCACTTGAAATAATATTTATATATTTCCACATTATTAATGAGACTGCTTGTTATATGAATAATGTGAAATATGAATTTTTAGAGTCACAGATGATTAAAATTTCTTTATACATAAGCTTTAACAATTGCCCGAATTCTCTGAACAGATTAATTTTTAATATGTTTTATAGTTTTTTAAATGGCTGGATTGCTGATTGATAATTAACTAATAATAATAATTATAATCAGCTTTTAATTTTTAGAGCCACAGAAAAAATGTAAAATAAACGAAATTTCTGCCAGGATTTGTTTGTCTTATTTTTTGTATTATTTTAAAAATAAATACTGAAGCATTAAACATGGCCAGAAAAGATGAAAATACCAGAATTTAGCCAAAATATTTGCATATGTATTTTTCAAGTGCAACTCGCTAGCTTTGCCAAATATTTAGAGCATTGTAGCAAAACACACACCAATAGACACCAACAGCAACGCACACACACACACACACCCACACACACACACACACACACACACACACACCCTCACACATGAGAATGCATGTGAGATGTGAGTACTCGAATAGTTGGCAATTTCTTTGTGGCTGGCGCACAGTGGTTGCACGGATTGTGCGCGTTTTTGGCGCTGCTAAATGCGGATTTGCACTGCATTGTTATAGGCAACTGTTTGGCACCGCAGTAGCTGCTGTTGCTACTATTGTTGTTACAATTGTTGCTATTGTTATTGTTGCTGTTGTGACGTTTTTTTGTTTTTTTGTTTGTTTTTTTTTTGATTCTGCCAAACGCACAGCGAAATTGCAATAAACTTGGAGTCAAGCTGGGTGCATGTATCTAGCGGCAATGCTGGCAGCCACTTAAAGCCAAGCTTAAAGCGTAGCTCGCACTTGGCCAGCTGGGAATCAAGCTTATATATGTATATATAAAGATATGTACAATATATTCTAATGTATTTCCAAGTATGTGTGTGTATATAATGCTTTTAATAATGCAGTTTCTTCTCTTTTGTATATTCGCATAGCACTTGCGGCAAAACTTCAGCAACAACGTCACGTGGCTCCACAGCCTCCACGGCAACACCCTCATCCAGCTTCCTCTCTCCCCTACCACCGCAAGCATTGTGGGACCAGCACTTTACATAAACATAACATTCACGTTGAGAATTCACATTACACATCTTGCAGCAGCGCGTGCTGCAACAAATACACAAATACCACACACACACACACACATCTGCTCCATACTTATATTATAAAGTGTATATTTTTTCTATATATTTTTCTATATTATTTCTTGCAGCCTGCGCTTATTATGGTGCCACTACAAAACTTTCGCGCACTGTATGTGTGCGTGCGAGTGTGTGTGTGTGTGTGTGTGTGTGTGTGTGTTTGTGCGTTAGCAAACTTTGCAACTTACATGCAAGCAAAAAAATGTTGTTGCTGCAGTTGTTTGGGGCCTTTGGTAAAGCATTCCCAGCGGCAACACAAAAGCTTGGAACGCACACACACTCGCTGAATGAGGCAGAGACGGTGGATGGGTGGTCGATGGGGAAGGGAGATGGGTGGCAGGGTAGATAGTCGAGGGCTAGCTGGGGAGCGAGTAACAGAGATAGCTCGACAAGATGGACAAGTAAATTGAAAGTTTGAGCTGCACTGAGCTGACGTTGCCGCCGCTGCTGCTCCCCCAATGCCCGTGCAAGGGTCCACTTTGTCATCCTTTGAATGCGTCGCGTTCTTGTTATTGTTATTGTTGTTGCCCGTGTTGGTATTGCTATTGCCATTGCTTTTGCTGACTGGTCCTCCGTTGGCAGTTTCAGCAAGTTTTACGCAACTTTCAACGAGTCTTTCATTTTCGGATATTTCTTCTAGCATTCACTAGCTGCTTGGCGCTACCTCCCACCCAGCCCCATTCTTAGACACCATCTCCATTGCAGACACACACACACACACACACACACACGCAATACTCGTTGCTTTATGCTGTAATTTTATTTAACTTCGCTTTTTTCTCTGCTTTTTCTTTTTCTTTTGCTTGTTTTTTTTTTATTTTGTTTTTTTGCTTTATGTCGAGTATTTTTTCGCGTGCACAAAATGCATTATTTTTTATGTCTCCATGTGCTGTTAGGAGTGTTGACCCCCTTACCGCACTACCCCTCACCAAGACTGCTTTTGACCCCCATATACAGCTATAGCGTTAAGCCAGGCTAAGCGTGAGTTTCTAACGTTAACTTCATGTCAATGGATGTGTGTGTGTGTGTATGATGTAACTAGTTGCATACCTCAGTCTACTCAATTGCTGTCTCTCTTACACGCTACGCAGCGAAATGTTGACAGCAACCACAATAACACCAACAACAGCCACAATAGTTATAGCTATGAAAATAGTCGAGCTCTGTGAGTACATTAAAAAAGTGTCATAAAAATTAAATGCCCTTAAAGGGCTTGCTGAAGGCAGGCAACGTGTCTGCCTGCAAATCGAAGTGAATATGCCATATGGGGACCCATATTATACAAACTACATCTAAGCTATATGAATATGTGATCTTGCAACAATTCAATTGCAGATTAGAATATGTAAAATGTATGATCGAATTGGAAATTGTAGCTATAATTATCAAGTGCTTCTTTTGGAATAAGTTCTAAGCAAGCATTTTACAAGAACATATAGAAATTTTGGAGTCCTATAGAGGATGAGGATAAATTCAGTTTGTTATCTTGGTGCTATTCAAAACAATATGTAATTAAAATATTTAAAAAATACTTTGATTTGTGGTTTTCTTTTAAGTATTTTTTATCAATATTTCTGGAAATTAAAATTAACTCTTTCATTCACGAGGAATTTTATTGGAAATTATTCCAGACCAATACTTTCATGAATATTTAGAAATTATAGACCTCTAAGTGAGATGTTATTTCTATGGTTTTCTATTATTATTTTTTATTCTTTGCAAGTTATTATAATTATTTCTTTCTTTTATTTTTGATCACTATCTATGAATAGTATATATTTGAGTAGTGATTATTCAGAGTTTACCAAATGAAGAAATAAAATAACACAAAGCTATTGAAATACGAATTTTCTTGCTATTATTAATTATATTAAATTGTTCACTATAAAACATGATCATTTCGATTTAGAGATAGTCGATGTTTAAATTGTATTTTTTATCACAGTTTCCCGTTAAGTTTGACTGCTTGAATAAAATACGTGTACGTGTAAAAAATAAACATTCTTCTGGGGTTAACAAACAAATCCAACATTTCAGTCATTTAACGTGATGCTGGCAATTTGCTTTTGGCCAAAATGCTGATCTGGCGTACCGCAAACCCCATTTTTGGGGTTTACTGAAATGTAATTCGCAATTGCTTTATTCCCAAAGAGAATTTACACGCACCACACACACACACACACACACACACACACACACACGTACACTTACCCTTAGAAGCTATGTAAATATATGTATGTGTATGTGTGTGTGTGTGTTTGTGACTCCACTCAAGTGCATATGTGAACTGTTGATGTTTTTTGTCTGCAGCGACACTCAATTGGCGTTTTCTTTTAGTGGCATGCCACGGGCTGAGTGGCAGCAGCAGCAGCAGTAATAGCAGCAAGTGTTGTTGCTGGTTGCTTTTGCTGTTGCTCATTGGTCGATGGTTGTCCAAACTGGTCGACTTGCCAAGCACGTAGTCCAGGTAAATGAACTGCTAATATCTGGGTGTGTGTGTGTGTGTGCGTGTGTGTGTGTGGATAAATTCTTGCTACATTGTGTGCACGAGTGGTGCTTGTTGTGCCTTGGTGTTAGTGCTGTTGCCTGCCATGGTTGGCATTGTTGTTGACATTGTGGTGATAAGCACTCTGTTGTCGTTGTTGTTGTTGTTGTTGTTGTTACTGCTGTTATAGTTATGACAGTCTGGGCTCATTAGTTGGCGCTTGCCACGTTTGCCAGGTGGCAAGGATTGGTGCTGCTGCTGCTGCTGCTGCATTGCATGTCCTGCTGTTAATTGCGTAAATTGTTTACGTTTCGAAAATATAATGAAGTCATTTCCATTAGCACAATGCACGCCACTGATGATGACTGTGCTACAAAGCGCTGCTGCTGCTGCTGCTGCTGTTGCTGCCGTTGCATTGCAGCTGCTTGCCCAGAACTATGCGCCTTACAATACCGCTTAATGAAGTCGTGCATCTGTCTGTGTACGTGTGTGTGTGTGTGTGTGTGTGTGTGTGTGTGTGTGTGTGTGTGTGCTTATGTGTGTGTGTGTGCACCTGTCAAAGGCACAAATGTCTTGCAGAAGTGACATCGATACTGCAGGCTGTGTGGCATGCACGTTTTACTTGATTTAATTTCAGCGTATCTCTGTCTGTGCATATCCCCCTCTCTCTCTCTCTCTCGCTCTCTTTCATACGCACACACATACATTGTTTGTGTGTGTGCGTGTTTATTGCGCATTTCTCTGGGTCTGGCTGGATATTTATCCGTTTGTTTGCCACAGTCGGTGGCATTGAACAGCGTTCGCTGCTCGTTGCTCGCATTTGCATGCATTTCGCACAGCAGTCAAAAGATGTAGATGACTCAAAGGGGGCGGTTGAGTGGAGTGTGAGGCGTGCCACTGGCAAATATGCGTCATTTGCATTGGGTTAAAACGGTTGGCGAAGCGCAAGAGCGCGCTACATTTTATGTGACTGCCACACGACGACGACTTGCCCCGTTGCGGCATTTATTCAGCATGCAATGCAACAATAGTTTTGCATATAAATGGTTTTCGTTTGCGCATTTAAATGAAATCCCACCTTGCATCCCAAGCCACATGCCACATGCCACCTGGCAAATGCAAAGCCCAATCGACGCCCCGCATCTTTGTTTATTTATATATCCGCGACAACTCTTAAAGAAATAAGTCTCTGTGCGAATGTGTGTGTGTGTGTGTGTGTGTGTGCATCCAATTAGTGTTGTGTATATGCATGTGTGTGCTTATTTAATTTTTCACGCTCATTATGCAGCGAGCCAAGTCTAGTAGGAGAATCAGCAGCTTTGCAATTAGTCCACCATTTTGTGGCAAATCGAAATGTGTGCCCAGAGACAGAATACAGTAATACAGTGCGTATGCTTGATATTTGTAAATATTATTTCGCATGCCTGCAACTATATATATGTGTGTGTGTGTGCCTTAATTTAATGCCTCAATTTATAACTTGAGCTTTACGAATATGTTCTTTTTTTTTTTATATATTTTGCACATATTTATTTGAATGCATTAAATTGCAACAAATTGCCGTTTACTTTGTGGGTTGGGGCTGGTTACACTGACATGTAAAGCGATTTTCATGACGTTGCACTGTAATTTTTCTGGATTATCAGCGCAAGTAGCACTTAATACCAAATTATTATGCATGCAGTCAGCAAGAAAAAAAAATATATATATATAAAATGAAAATCAGAACAGAAGATTGGCAAAAAAAATATAGCATAAGCGCCAGGCGCATGCATAAGCATGCCTATGTCAGCTGTGTGTGTGTGGGTGTGTGTGTATGAGCAGCTTATGCCATTTACATACACTCGCACATACACTCCACACACACACACACACACACACACACACACACATAAATATGCGCCAGGTTTAAAAATTGATATGCCATTTATATATGTACTTATGCATTATTTATGTACTTTCTGTGTATATATATACATATATATATATATACACATATATATATATTTATATCTATATGTGTTTATATTGTAAAATCGCAGAGCTGTCGTTTCACTCACCATTTGATGATGTGGAGAAGTAAAAGCTGTTGGTCAAGTCACTCCAGCCGTAGCGATTCCTGTGAATATGTACAAGAACAATTTCAGACACTTATTAATGTTTGGCAACAACTAATTGTGTGGCATTAATATGCAAATATGCGATTGTGGAAATGCTAATTGCCAGCTAATGAGCCATACTAACTAACTGTGCCCCATATAGTTTTAATGGCCACACGAAGAAAATGAAATTCTGGCTAGAATTAACACACTTTATGTGATATAAGCATGGTTTAGCAAGCAGCGGAAGTCAATAAGAATTATTTAATTATGAGAATATAATGCCAATAAAAATAAAGATATTCATAGTAATATTAATAAGAAGGATTCATTCTGAATTAAGTAATACATGAGATGAGATGATCGAAATTGTTGCTTAAAAATAATAATTATAATATTTTAAATTATCTGCCAAATAATTATGTTTCGATGCTGACAAATTGCATTGCATTGTATTTTAATAGATATATTTATGCATTAATGCTCTACTTACCGGGATTGCACTGTGGCCTCGTATTGCTGATCGGGATTCAGTCCGCGAACCATGTAGCTCATGCCCTGCGAATAGTGGTGGGAGACGGGAACGGCGGGCAGGACAACATCGCGCCAATCGTTGTGGCCCCAGTGCATCAGATTGCCATAGCCGCCATAGTTGGCCAAGTTGCTGCCAATGCGATGATTGTGGCTGACAACGCCATAGGGTGAGGAGGAGCCAGAGGAGAGTGACGACGACGACGACGACGACGATGAGGATGAGGAGGATGACAACGAGGATTGCGAGTCAATGGCATTGTCAACGACCTCATGTCCTTGCGGCAGCTTGCGGAAGGACAACTTGTATTCCTCGATGGGTGTATGCGAGTCCACCGCCCACGAGATGTTATATCTAACGAGTTGCAGCACCAGCAAAAATAGAAATAGAAAGAGGGAGAAAATGTGGGTGGTTGTATAAGTTAGTTGCGTGCAACAGTTGGTGTTGCCTTTATTTTCTAGTCGAACTCAATCAATATGTAATTGTTAAATTTGATATAAAGCCATGTGCTGCACTCAGCCAAGAAGCACGCAGCAACAACATCAAGAGCAATCGCTGCTGCGACAACACTGCAACATAATAATCAATGCTGACGTCGCACGTCGACAATGGCTGGATTTAAGATCAACCATACGAGTACAAAGTTCAATCCCAGTGTTAATGTTGTTGCTGCTGCTTTTGTTATTGGCCCTTTGTTTGCCCTTCGCCTGAGCAGCTGGCCAACGCACAATACACAATGCGTTTCGTTCATTCAACCGAAAAGCTAACAGCTTGCCACAGTCGCCCGGCCCCAAAATGCAGCATGGGCCATTGGCCTCAGCTTTAAGCTGACGATTGCTTTAAGCGAAACTCCGTGCGTTTCGGCTCATTAACAAAACGTATTAATATTAATGGCAATAGCAATGGGGTTGAGGGGTTGGACGATTTGGTAGTATTTATAGCGGTAATCGAGAGGCGAAACTATTCGAGCAGCAGTTCAAGTAAACAACTAATTACAAGAAAGCGTTTCGTCCTTGTTGTCCTTGCTGGCTCCATGTGCCATCAACATTCGTATTCGCATTCGCATTCGCATTCGCATTACAAAGGCGCTAGTTCATTGCTTTGCGATAAACTCGGCACACAATTTGAATGCTAATCAGCTGTACAAGCAGATGATGAGGTGGGTGCTGGAGGGGGGGAGTGAGTGGCACAGACTCATAAACAAGCCAACTTATACAAATGACAAGTGCTGGAATGCTTATACTTGTAAGTTTGTTTGTGCTTGGCATTTATTTTGGTTTCAATGTTGGTAATTTTATTATTATTATTATTATTTTTGTTATTTTTGTTATTTTTGCATGCTTATTGAGCCATATGAACTAATAACCTGAAGTCCTGCGCACAATAAAAACATAAAACGCCAATCAGAGCGAACTTTTCGCATATAGCATCAAAGTAAAACGAGCAATAAAAATGATTATGAACAATTGAAGAGGCAGCGACTGGCGCCAGGCGCCACTGAAACGCGACCGTATCACCACAGTGGCTCCGTGGCCCAACAATTTGCCAGCCTTAATTGCCGGCAGCAGTTTCCGGCACAGCCACCAAATGAAATCAGCAGACCGGCGTTGACATCGCCCAATAGTCAAACTGAATCCCATTCCGTATCCCTATCAAAATCCCATTGCCAATGCCAATGTTAGTATTTGTCTGCTAAAAGTTTCGCCATTTCGTGCAACGCAACGCGGCTGTTTCACAGTGGAATTGAAATCGACACTCGACGAGGAGAACGATTTATAGGACACTGGAAAAATAAACAATAAAATTGCCTTTAAACTAGTGATAAAATTGAAAGTGAACGCTTAATGCGTTAAAAGCCAGATTTCGAAATCAGTAAGTAATATTCTTTGCAGTAATTGATTTCTGGACCGATTCAAAAGCAAACAAAACAAAGACAAAACTAAACAAAAAACTGTTTTAAAAAAGATTGTTTAAATTATATGTTTATGATTTAAGTTGAATGATGCTTTATAATTGATTCCTGTAAAGCTGTGTAATTATTAATTACTTCTGAGAATGATTTATAGGATATTGAAAAAACTATTATAATTGTATTTTAAAAAAACAAGATTAAAAGTGACATTTCGGTATGTACGTAATATCCTTTGTTGTACATTTAAATATATTCATTCAGTGACTTTTATTGCTGGTTGTGAATTTAAATAATAATTTAAATAATTGTTCGATATATTGATTTACAAACTGAAAGCTGATTTTCTAAGGGCCGGCTTAAATATTTAAATTTAATTTAAATGATTCTTTTTTAATGATTTCTGTAATTCTTTACCAATGGCTTCTGTGTTAATTAGTATCGAGAATATGGCAAATAGTGATTTATATAACAACATGTATGCTTCTCTACAGAAAATAAAAATTGTTAAATATGCTCGAAGTAGATATGCAATAAAATTGAAATGTTACGTCTTAGCCAGTATTCACTGTATTAGTTGGCAAAATGTCATCGGAGTTGCATAGATGGCATATGAAATATACTTAATATGCTCGACCTTTTTCAAATATTTTCAATTTTGCACATTTCCAATTTATTTATATTTTCATTTATTCTTTTTCTAGTTTATTGAACTTAATGCAAGTTGAATTATTGAAAGGTGCCAATGCCACTCACCGGCAGCTTGTTAGGTCTAAAGCTATGTAACTGAATGTCTGTCTATGTCTACGTCTGTCGCACAGTTTGTCCGTCTGTCTGGCGTGTGTGTGTTACATGTGTGTGTGTGACAGTGAGATGTGAGCTTGTTTGTCGGTTGGCTGCTTGTTCTCTCAGCCGAGTGTGAGTGTGTCTGTCAGTCCGTCCGTTTGTCCCTCTGGCCATCCATTCGACCGTCTGTTCGTCTGTTCTCGTGTGTGCGTCTGATGACAGCTAATCCAATTAAAAGTTTTATTTGTTCCGTACACGACCAGTTCTCTGTCTGACTGTCCACTTTGTCCCACTGGCCGTGTGTCATTCAACGAAATTAATCTTATAAAGCCCCACCAAAAACTGACATTTCTCAATTTTTTGTATTTTTTTTTGGCTTTGTATCGTCGCTTAAATTTTTCGAATCAGACGCTCGATTACGTATACGTAATGCCAAGTGTGTAACGTAACGTATACGCCGTATGAATCTCAGCGCTAATTAGGCGCCCAGTTGGCTAGCCAGCTGGCAATCGAACTGAAGTTAACTTAACTCAACTGGAGTCAAGCACACCGCAAATTGTCTAACGCTGGCCATCAGTGTGTGGCACGTGGGACCGGTAAGTGGCACGTGTCTGGTCTCTGGGGCTGGGCTGCCAATTGAGCACCTAACGGAACAGTGTAGAATTGGATACGGGCGGATTTCGCGCGTGTGTCGGGCATGGTGAGGCACATATATATATATATATATATATGTGTAGTAAAAGTTTGGCTCACCTGTCTTTGTATTGACTGATTGCCGGTGAATTAAAAACGGCAACATTCGGTTTTCCGCTCAGTTGCAAAGTTTTGCGTGACTTGCCAAGCTGGTTCTCAGCCACGCAGGAGTAGTTGCCAAAGTCCTGCGGATGCACTTTGCGTATAATCAGCGTGTGACGTGAGCCGCGATTCTCCATGATGTGGCGCTCGGTGGTATCCAATTGCATGGTGTCTTTGAACCAAATTACCTGTAAATAATTGAAAACTTGGTCAATCGCAGCGAACACGAAGCTCGTCAAACTACAAACTACCAATCCGGCAACTGGCAACCGGCAACTGGTAACAGGCAACTGGTAACTTGCAACTGGTAAGTGACAGCTACCAGCTATCCGCTCTCCGCTCTCCACTCTTCACTCTCGACTCGACCGAACATTCGAAATTCGAACTCAATGAGTGTCAGTGTGTCTGAGTAGCTGTAAATTGCCATATCTGGCGTCTGACTGCCTGTGCGGTTGTGTGTACATATATATATATATATATATATATCTGTTAGTGTGTGTGTGTGTGTGTGTGGGGGATGAGCTGTGTGAAAGTTCAAGTGATTTACAGCCAATACTTTCCCAATATATCGCATTGCATCCACTTCGACTTCACTTGAGCTCAAAGAATTGTGCATTAAATTTCCTTGAGCTTAAATCAGGATTTCGCCAATAACAAATTGTTCAATATTGAAAAGTAAAATATAGTGTTTATTTGAATTTTAATTTAAACCAATATAATCAAATCGTTTATTAATTGAATGTTAACTTACTTATTAAGCTAAGCTTATTTACGACTTGCAAATAATATTTTAAATCACTTTTAATTTGAGCTATTTAGTAGTAGTAGTATTATTATAGTATTCATTATTATTAAATTGTATATTTTAGTAAATTAAATGCATAGACTTACATAGAGACTTTGTTTGCAATAATTGAGAGGTGAGTGAAAATTCTTGTCATTTCTTAAACCTTTATTAAGAGTTTGTAAAAGATTTACGCATATCATTTAGAAGGCGGTGGCTTAAATTAAACATTGGCTGAAAGTTGTGATTCTATTTGTTGGCTTCCTAATTTTTTTTTGTTGCGAATATTTTGACAACTGGAGAACATATAAATTTCAAGAGCTTGTTTCGTATGTCAAGTGCGCTCATAGCCTGAACAAACAGAGGAGTTACAGCCTAGGACTAACTAGTATTATGGCGCTCAACTGACAGCCTCGACAGACGACAGACAATAGACGGAGGCCATGTGCGTGTTTTGGGAACGAATCGTGCTTTAGGACCAGAAAATTTTGCCGACTCTGCTGGTTGCCAGGGTCTCCCAGCTGCCAGTTGGCAGTTGCCAGTTGCAGGTTTGAATTTACTGGTTGCCAGCAATCCGGCTGCTATTTGTTCATATGTGCGATGTTCCGCCGGCTTTGACAGGCTTCAGACAGCCAACCGCTGGGTAGACAGCGCCTCCAAAGCACAACGCACGAATTAACACACACACACGCACACACACACGCACACACACACGCACACACCATAGCACAACACACAAAACGGGTAGCAGCAGGTGCTCAACGCATGACTCACATACCAAAAAACAAGAGGCTCCCAAAACAAAAACAAAAACCAGAACCTTCAACAAGAAAATACATTGCAAAAATAAGAGAATAAACATATATATATATGTATATATATATAAAACAAATGAAAGGAAAACAAATACAGAATATGCCAAGCCACATGTATTCCCTACAGTGGGCTAGATAACTTAATGCTCTGAACAATATATATATATATATATATAAATTCTTTAATAATATTTAATGCTAATACAATTTAAGACTTTGTCAAAAAACTGTGTAAATAAATTATTTTTGAATGAGCGATTTCTATTTTACAAATGCAATTAAATTTCAGCAACAGAAAAAAAAAATTGATTATGAAGGGAAATTGCTGCAAAAATAATTAATATAATCATAATAATTTTATAATCGAAACAATGTTAACATCTACATTTTTTGGTATACAGTAATTTGCCTTGGAATATATATTTGCTGTCCAACCATGTGGCAAACACATTTTCTGGTTGTCTCTTTGACCATACAATTTTTGGCGCTGCTTTGGCGCATATTCCATTAAAATGGCTGTCAACGCTGCACATGTGTTGTCATATATTTCACACACATACACACACATACTCACACACACACGCATAGATATTGCCATTGTACGTGTGTAGTTACAGTTATGCCATCATACCATAAATGTTTGTTATTATTTGTGCAAAATGTTGATGTTTGCGTTTTCCATGCCTTTTGCTGGCCTCGTTGTAGCTGTTGTTGATTTTACGCTTTTCCCTTTATTTAAGCCACGCTCATCAGCCAACATACCCAGCATGCCCAACATGGCCAACATCATCAGCATCCGCATCAGGTTTTCGGGATCTCTGTTTCTGGATCGCTCAGCCGTGCGTAACGAGCCGTAAGTGTTGACATGGCACAAAAATTTCCCGAAAAATTATTGCATTTCATATTTTACTTTCCCATGTGCTCTTTCCCTGACTCTCTCTATGTGTGTGTGTGTGTTTTCCGCAAGCTTTGCTAAGCGCATTAATTACTTTTGGTTTATTAAATTGTGCCTCATTGGGTGAAAATGTGAAGTTGGCCAAAGTATTGGACAGGCGATTGATTGCTGTAGCACTTTGTACTTCATCAATATATCAAACATCAACGCAAAATGTTGCGTCTATCAATCTTTTGCACTTGCGCTTAATTTGCAAACGGCTTTTGTTGCACGGTTAAATGCCACATAACAGCAACAGCAACAACAACATCAATAAGTTGGCCAAGTTTGCAAGCAGCTAATGTGCGGCAGGCAACAACAGGCAGGCAATTGAAGCAGACGCAGCAGTAACACAAAAAAATTAGCATTGATGAGCAGCAAAGCGAGAAACGGCAATCAACACTAATCAGCCCCCAAAATGGGGAAGCCGTAGAAGCAGCAGAAGAAGAAGCAGAAACTTTGCGTGCTCTTGGCTCTACTTTTTGGGCCACTCAGCACCTCCTTAGCGTCGCCTTTGACTGCCACTCAATGATGCAATCCCCAGTTGGATGGCAAAACGGAAATTGTTAACGGAAAAGTGTTGTTAGGTGTGCGAATGTGTGTGTGTGCCAGTGTGTGTGTGTGTGTGTGTGGCATTGACGTAGCTGCGTGTCGATTGCTGCTTGCCGCCTTTGTCGTACGTCAGGCAGTCTGTCTTCTGGCTGTCCGTCAGGCACAAATCAAATAATTACGCATACGCAACGTCTTCCGTCAACACGCACATACATACGTGTGTTGCGTGTTTGTATCTGTGTTCGTGTGTGTGTGTTGCTAGTGTCGCCACTAATAGCTAGCGATTGACTAAAGTTGCTGGCCACGCCTGATTGCCACCGCCACCTGATCACGCCCACCCATTGCCATTCAGCTAGAAAACTCTTATAGAAATTGGTTAATAAATAATTTGTCGTAATTAATTACACGTCAGCAATTTACAATTGAACTCAAATCATTCGAAATGTCTGTCAATTTCCGCATTATCCAACAAACAATAATGGGCGACCAAAGCTCTTCATCCGCTCTTCACCAAGCGTTGGGACTCTAATTAAAAATCAAACGAGCGCAGCGCGTGAAGCATTCGCTTCATTTAACTTGAAGAGCAGCTCTTGAACAGTCATCATCAGCATTGATGCACAGCGTCAACATCATTACCAATCAATCGGATGGATAATAAAACATAAATAATATTTATGAGCATATTTTGCAGCAAATAAATTGAGAATCATTTAATAAGTCGATAACGCCCAAAAGCATTTGATTTACTACAGATTTGCCTGAATTTAAAGTTAATCCCAATTTTAATTTGCTTGCTAGTTCAAAATTTTGTCATGAAGTCTGTCATTGTCTATTTTAATTATAGATATATTTTGTGCAACTAAGTAAGAGATGTGTCAACCTTAGAAGTAAATCTAACGGCTATATTTGTATTTTTTAATTATTTGTTTTGTTAATCTATTTATTTACAAAATTATTTAAATCAAGAAGCCATTTTTTAAAGAAATTTTCATTACACAATCAAATATTGGTATTTAACATATATTGTTTGCTTACACATATAATAAGCATTTGATATTTTAAATTGTAATAAGTAATAATCTATCAATGTAAATACGAAAATGAAACTTAATTAGTTAAAATATTTTCACGTTTGACTCTTTAACTTATTTAGCTACTCTTCATGTTATAGGTAATTTGTAAAAGGTGGAAGAGCAATTTTAAATTATGCCTTCAGCTGGAAAATTAATGACAAATTAGACTCGAAATTGAATAGACATTGAACGATATTTAATGAGTAGTTTTGGGCTAATAGAATCACAGTAATTAAGAGCACAGACTAATCATCTCTCTCTCTCTCTCTCTCTGCACAAATGACCGATTTGAGATGACAATATATGAGTGCTCCAATGCGCTTAGGGCTTCAGTTGGTAAATGGGCCAAACAAGTAGTCAAATCGGGCATCAGCATAAAAACTCATTATGCCCGAAGACTAACCCATACTAGGTATGTGTGTATTTGTGTGAAAATGTGAAGAAAATTAACAATTTGGAAATTAATTTGCAAAATAATTGAAAGCAATGACAACGACTATGGCCATGATCCACAAGCGATGACAGCACATTAAGTTGCAGCCACCAAGCTACCAGTTGTGAAGGGTGTGCGGTGAGCAGGGGGGAGGAGAGGGTTGAGGGGAAATACTGCTGTGCCTGTACAGGCAACACTCATTAATGATGTTAGCTGTTGATAGCTCTGTCAAATGCTGCTGCATGTTTAATGTGCCTGACATCGACATCAATGACGTCGATGGCGCTGCCAACAACAACAGCAACAACAAAAACATTCAGAGTAGCAGCAACAACAACAATAACAATGGACGCCTCTCCACGATGACGTTGATAATGATGTTGTCTCATTGCTGTCGCTCATGTTAATGACAATTGCTCTAATGACAATGTTGCAGCCGTCGTTGCAGCCGCCTGTCATTGATGGCCTGCCACTTGGGTGGTGCGTGGTAGTGCGGTTAGATGGTGACTTAGGGCCTATTTATGGTATTCATTATGCAACAAATCAACATTATATATCTATGATGGTATTATGAATATGCCAGACCATGTGCCGCAATTCCTAATTAATATGCAAATATGCACACATGTAAATCCGTGTGAATGCCACACACAACACAGGTGTATACGTATGTGTGTGTGTGTGTGTCACAGTCATTTTAACGCTTGCTTAATAATTAATAGTCCTCTGTGGCATATATTGGAGTTTGTGGATTTTCTGCAACTTGCCGCATTTGGCTTATTATTGTGGCATGCATTGTGTCAAAGCATAATTAAAAATGCGCATTGCCGCAAAACTAGGCTGCACCGAACAACAGCAACAACACCTACAATTACGACATGCAACAAACCGCAGCCAGTTATCAATCATTACAAACAATATCCTATTGCTCATTGCGGTCTATGCATTTAATATGTTATGCAAGCCGCTTAAATATCTCAGATTGTTGTATCCGCTATCTATTTCAGTCTTTCATTAAATGCAATTAAACAAGTATTTCCAGATCATGTTTGCCTCAGTGTAATAAACAAGTCTTCTGCATATTTCGGCTAATTTGAATAGTTTTCGACATTTATTTGCTTTTTGTGGACCACAATTTACAGGTGAATGCAATGTTTAATATAAGCGTTAAATTTAACAAATAAAAGTTGCATGCATTTTCAGACTCTTTGACTTGACTTGGGCAGATTGTTTTTTTTAAGCATGAAGCAGTCCCAATATTCCACAGAATTTGCCAAATTAATTTATTCAACTGCCAAAATAATATTTATTTAACGGTGACTTTAAGATTTGAAAGATATATACAAAAGGCAAATTAAACATGCCCTTTAGATTTAATAAATCAAATAGCAAAAATTCGCATGCACAGATAATTTGTTGACTCGGCTGTTAATGTCGATAAATAATATTTATTTATATAATTCCCTACAGAGTCAGTTATGTATACTTCTGCTGGCTATATGCACTGGCATTTCCTTCCAATACCAGTCAGTGTAGAAAGCTAAAATAATGAATGGCAGTGGGCAGTAACTTGATTCGGTTGGTCAACAGTGGCGATTAGGCATACAAAGGAGTGCAGAAGACACACGCTGTGAACTATAGTAAGCTGCAAGCTCGTTAGCATGTTGGCTATGCCGTGTGGCATAATCAGGCAGCAAGAATTCAGTGCTGAATTGTATATATTTAAGTGAAGTCATAAAACAGCAGAGCAGCAAATGACGATGACGGTTGGAGTTTGGCGCCGGGTGGCAGCTGGTAAAAATGGCATGCGGATATGCCATTCTCAAAGACTACAAATGCCATCTCTGAGCAATCGTTTCGTCCAACAGCCCCATTACCCAGCCCCCCACCGCTTTTCCACAACGCAGTGGGCATTGCACAATGCAAAGGAGGCGTGCAGCTTGTCGTATAATGAAATGTGTCCAGCAGAACAAACAAAGAGCTGCAGCTGAGCGAGCCGGCTACATAATGCAACAACAACAACAACAAAAACAGCGGCTAAAATGAAAATAAAAGAAAATTTAAAATGTAGTTGGCACTTTCCTGGGAAAGTACATACCAGTCAACTCTTTGTGGCCACAAAACGAGCGCACGAAGTGCTCGGCGCAAAGAATTTGAAAAATTAAATAGCATAAAAACGTAATGCAACGCCCCAAAAATTCGCTGAGATGATGGGTTGTGTGCGGGGGGAATGGGGGCTAAGTGTGGATATACTGGGCCAAATAACATTCAAAGTCAGCCAGAGTCCAAACAAACTGAACTGAACCGACGCTGTATAATTTTAAGCATTGACATTTGCGGTCTCCAGTCATTATTTGGCGTACTAACCCACTCTCTTCCTTTCTCTCTGTCTCCGGTTCTCTCTCGCTCTCCCTCTCTCGCTCTCTCTCTCTCTCTCGTACTGCGTGTGTGCAGTTTTTTGATGGCATTTTCTTTTTTTTTGCTGCCTGCTGCTACTCTCTGGCAGTTCTTTTCTTATTTTCCTTTTTGGCTGCTCGTCGCTTCACACTTCCGCTTTGGCAACTTCCGCAATTTTACTTTGAATTATAGCCAAGCGTATTCATTTAAATGTCGGCAAAGGCACACAGCACACACAAAAAGAAACATTAAAAAAAATAAAAATTAATACTCTATAAGCAAAAAATGTCCAGAAAAAAATTGGTGTGTGTGTGTGTGTGTGCAACCAAAAGGCACATTGTTGTCTCTTTATAAAAACCTTGTAGTGGGTCTTATTATAATTTTATGAAATGTGATACACTTTGATGTATGAAGATTATATACATATGTCTATGTATATGATTTACAAAAGTTCTGTGTGTGGGCCAGTTTTTAAGCCATGTTCAAAAATGAAAAATTGCGTTGAAATGCATCACAAAGTCTTTGTGTCTGTGGGAAGCTGACTTCTCGAATTACTATTTAAAGCGAATTGTAAATCAAGCGAGGTTAAAAATCTCTGGTTACATTGGATGATTATATTTTGTGCCTTTTTAAGGAGTACTCGTATACCTTTATTTATATTTATAGCTTCACACATATCATTATAACAATATCGTATTTGATATGGATATTAATAAACTTTCAACGCATTTTCTGTTCATAAAAGCTTAAGCAATAATGAAAATAGATCTCGTTTGCTAGAAATAAGACAATCAGACAAATCGAAAGATTCTTAGCTGTCACCATAATCATAATCTTTGTCAAATTTAAATTCAGATCAACTCATCTTATGTCATACATTTTTCAACTACGAAGTATCTCAAATTCGACTCGCCGAGCTTAGCCGATTTTCTAGTTTCTACTCTTTGTATTGCTTCGTGTTGGTCTATTGTGTAAAATATTCTTTCTGTGTTTCATTAAAATTATGCTTTGTCCGGCACTTCAATTTGCCTTTGTAGATTTTTAATTACTGTGCTGGCAGCTGTTGTCGCCCGATAGCATCGCCCAAACTGCACCTCTGTAAAATAACTTCAACTCTTTCTCATCTAAATTTAAAATTTCGTTTGAAATTCGCATGAATGCATGCCAAAATCAATAGACAATAGTTGCAAGCCAAACGATTTTAATAATTGAAGCCTCAAAAAGTATGCTTCAGTTTTTAAAATACAGATTTTTGTTAGTTACAGTGCTGTCAGAAAGTATGTGTATGCGAGAGTATGTATATTAATGGGTTCTGGTACATTGCTGCTGCTGTTTTATGTCCAAGTGAGAGCAGCAGAGCGAGTAAATGAAAATTTATGCGTTAAAATTAATTAAAACATACCTCAGGCTGTGTTTCGCCATGCACGATGCAGACCAGCATCGCCTCATGGCCCTCTCCCGAGAAGACAACGGGACGCTCCACAGAGATTTCCGGCGGGTCTGTATGGAGTTTGGGAAATATTAAGAAAATTAGTAAACATTATGGAAAGCAAACAGAAAGCACAACAATATTATAAGCAACGAAAAAAAAAACAAGACAAAGCAAAAAACAAAAATCAATGGCCCATTTCCAGTGGGGTTGGGGTTGGGGCTGGGATGCCATATATAATTAACTGCTGGCAGCGCACCACCTTTATTAGTAAGCCCCACACACCCACGGCAGACATTCATCGAAATTGCTTATAAATTTTAAATAAATGTCGGTCCAGCAAATACACAGAGAAGGCACTTTCATAATTGCAATCCAAGTAGTTGTAGCACTTCTAGTTGTTATAGTTGTGTAATTCTGGTTCCACTGTAGTACAGTGTGTAAATGCCAAAGTGGCAGGCAGACGGTGAAGTAATCGTAAGTAGTAGCAGTCGTTGTGGTTGCTTTGCGTTGCAGTCAGTGCCAATAACCATTGAAAATCAGTTTTCAAATAAATTAAAGTGTCTTGCCAATTGGTGCTGCCAACTGGTTTCAAATTAATTTGTTTCGCTTTCATTCGACCGGTCAATAAAATGGCATTTACACACACACACACACACAGCCATGGGGTTGTGAGGGGTATATATACTTACATAAGACGTGCAGGACGACCTGACTGGATGCGGGCTGGCCGACGCCATTGTTGGCGGTGCAAATGTAGACGCCGCCCTTATGACGATCCACATTCTCGATTGAAAGGACGTGTGAGTGGAGCTTCTCCTCGCCTGCCAAACCAGAAAGCGAGCATGTGAAATTGGAAATGTGAAATGGGAAATGTGAAATGTGAAACAGGAGCAAGAGTCAATGAAATGCGGCCATCGAAGCAATGACAGAGGCAATTACAAGGACCTCAGCTCACAGCTCAAGCTCCAGTCACATCTCAGCCTGCGTCTCCCAACCAGCCAGACAAGGCAATACCAATGTGGACCCCGAATGGCTTCAGTGTGCGCATTGTATATATTTAATAACAAAGGAGAGGCGCGAAGGACGGCGCTGAATGTGAGGACATTGCGCTGCAAATAATTTCTTTGACTTTTCATTTTTATGGAAATTGTTTAAGTTTTTTATATTCATATACTTTTGCACTTTTTTTGTGAACCGTTTTTTGTTATTCTTTATGCTTTTAATTTGCGTCGCGTGCTGGCCAGTTGACTGCCTGACTGGATGGCTGACTGACAGGCATCTTGGCTGGTTGGGATCCTTTCGCTCGTTCGTTGCTTGCCTATTTATGCAAAATCTTACCATTGGGCAAAATATTATTTTTGCGGCTCCAAGTCACATTTGGCGTTGGATTACCAGAGGCCGAGCACTCAATGCGCACTGATGAACCTTTTTTGACTTGCAAATGTCCGCCGGTGCTAATGTGATGAATCCTCGGTGGCACTGCAAAAGACCAAAAAACAACAACCAAATAAACAGAAACACAAAAAGGAAAGGAAGCAAGAAAAAAAACAATAGAAAAAAAAGAAAACACATTAGAAATGGCCAGTTGTTGTTGTATATGTTATATCTACTACTACTACTACTACTACTACAATGGTGAAAAAACAATGAGTGCCCAGTGTCCAGGCGAAATATATGCAAAGTCCCAGCTGCCCTGGCCAAGGATCAAGGCGCAAGGACGCCAAACAATTTGAATAAATATGCGCACAAATGCAAATTGAATGAGTGCAAAATGGCATTTACGCATGTGGAACGAGCCACATGCCCCAGCTTGAGACTTCGAAAATGTTTCCGACTGAGGCAACTGCCAAATTGGTGGTCGGTTTTGTTGGTCCAAGCAGCTTTGGGCTATTTTATTTAATTTGCAACTCGAATTTATTTGTATTTGTGGCCGAAATTATTTTACAGCTGTTTAGAAAAAATTACGACAATGTCTGCTCGGTGCCATCGCATTCAAGGATACATTTTATTAGCATTTCCCATGCATTCGCACATTTTCGGAGGCTGCACCCCAAGGAAGCCACTGGAAGTCGTTTTAGGAGAGAGAGCTAGAGCTAAGCGGCTTTGTCTTTGGATTTGATTTGATTTTCAGTTTGGTAAATTTTATTTGTCACCCAGTTATCGAGCAAATGAATATATGGGGTAGCATTATATTGAATAATCTAAACCCCTTTAAAGGGTTAAAACTGCTTGAAAATAGTTCAGAAATATGAAAAATTGTATATCCAATTCAATTTAATTTATTTTTCAAAATGCTTAAAGTCGATATCATCAGGAAATGTTCAAAATAATCTTAAATATTTGATATGCTGACATTAAGTAATTGAGCTTGATTATTCAGAAAATTTCTTAGCTTTTTTGTTCTGCTATATAAAAAAAAATACTGTTGTAGGAGTTCAGAAAATTTCCATTTAAGAAATAATTTTGCTATTATAAAGTAGAAGGAAAACTAGTTTTCAGCCATTGCCGATGGGTAACTCCAATTCGGGAATTTCCGAGCGAAGCATTTTATCCTGCCTTAAGAAATTGTACGGCGTAAATAACATTGGAAAAATAACTTTAGTTTTGTGATTTCGATGTTTATTAGAATTGAATTGCATACAAATTAAAATGCAATGGTATAAAAAGTACGCCGACAAAGTGCATTTGAATGATGCAATTTCATGTGGAACTTGTATCAGACCTGCAACACATAAACTCGATTGCTTTGGCCAAAAACAAATAAGAAACAGCAGACATAAAAGGCAAGTTCCTCCTGGCCAAAAGCAGTGCGAGCGATGCCAGTATTTGCATTTGAAAGAAAATTACAATTGATCACTGAAGGGCGCACAAACAACGACAAAGAGACATAAACAGAGACATCCATATAGATGTATGTATACATATATATACATATATTTGGATACATTGAAATGATATGCAGGAAAATCAGCATGCGACTATAATAAATCATGGGACTGTGTGTGGCTCACAGCCAAAACTAAAAAACAAAAAGAAAAAACAAAAAACTATTGAGAGAGAGAGAGAAAAATATGGAGAATAAAAATATAAAAGCAACTGAGTTCAGAGAAATTGAGACAGACTTCGACTGAGACTGCTGCTCAAAATGAAGTCGTCTGTCTATTTGCTCAAAAGGACTGTGGCTCCAGCTTCATATCTGTATCCTTAACCGTATCTATGAGCGTGTGTGTATCTTCGCCAGGGGCTCTACCTCATAGATATCTATATATATATATATATATATACATGTGTGTGTGTGTGTGTGTGTGTGTGTGTGCGTGTGCGTGTCTATACATGTTTTCAATAATTTCACGCTTTGGTGAGACTTTATGCCCGACAGCCGTCGTATTGAATTCAATAAATATGAGTATACTCATATGAGTACTCATAACTGTAAGGCAGTTGACGACTTATAGAGCAGTTCATTTTGACTCATCTATGCGTGTGTGTGTGTGTGTTTGTGTGTGGCATGTAATACGTGGATTGCGGCATGTAATGTCATGCAGATGACGACTAATACGATGCCAATCGCTGTGTGACAGTGGGTGAATGCGAATTGGGCGTCGATGGGTTTTAAGGTTGGTGAGGGGGAGGTGTGGTGGAGGGGGTGGCAGCAGCAGTCAACGATTTTAATAAGCGAGCTCTTTCAAGGCAAACGATGCCGCAGTAGCCACAATATCCGCAACGCCAGCTTTTGGGGCAACTTGCGGCCATTTACAGATACATATATATAAATATATATATATATATATCTCATTCTCGTATACTTTGACTTATATAACAAAGATTATACGTATATTGATTATATGCCTTATTTCGCTAGTTGCTGCAACTTTAGCGTTCGGTTTTTGTGGCTTTTAAAGTTACACATTTCGGTTCGGACGTCGGAGTCAGGCATACAAGTTTCTTTTTTAGCACAGTGGGCAGGGAGTTTCAAAAAGATTGTTGGGAAGAGGAGGTACAGGGGTAGGTGAGGTCAGTTTGTTAAGTAATTTAAATCCATAGTTAGTTGGCAAAAGTTGAGTGCTAAAACTTAAACGGCTTGCCAAAGTGCTTGGGAGAATCTTTCTATATATATGCATATAGCATACAGATGTATATATATATATTTCGCCATTGCGTTTAATTGTTGGTTCGTTTGCATCTAAAGATGAAGCTGATGCTGAGGCTGCAACATCCTGGCTGGACCCCGGCTCGTTGACTTGGCTATATCCTGGCCATATCCTTGCAATTTGCCCTGCCATTGTGTTCGTAATTTGTCTCAAGTATCCAAAGCAACTTTGGTGTGTGTCTCGACTTTTGTTTATTGCATATTGTGGCATGCATCAAATTGTGCCACAATGGCCAACTCTTCACTGTCTCTCTTTCGCCATCCCTCTGTTTGTGTCTGTCTCTATTGTTATCGTTTTGTACAGTTATTATTGCTGTTGTTGTTGTGTTGTTATTGTCTGTGCTGCACATAGTTAAGTGCAGCATGCCTATCTATATAGGTAACCGTTGCACTGCACCACTGCACCGCCCTAACCCAGCACCTATGAAATTATGCAATTGTTTTTGGCATATTGGCCGTATAATTCAAACAAATATGTGGCTTGGTTTTCCCTGCACAGCTGCCACGATAATAATTATGCTTTCCAATTGAATGGGTTGACTAAAGGCGACAGGATCGAAGCCTTAATTAGGTGCCGCTTAAAGGCTTTAAGCAGCTTATTATGCAATCATGGCAACCATTGCATTTCAATTCCAATTTACCCTTAAGTTGGTTTCTCTGTGAGCTTTAAGCTGCAACTGTAAATCGTGGTAACACTCGTAATCAATGGAATCATTACATCATTACCCGTACTGCCAACTTTCTCTCTCTCCCTCTTTCTCTCTTTCTCTCTCAATTACAATAAAAATGCCCAATTGACCACAATCGATGCCCACATCGGCTGCCACATAACTTAATGTTTTGCGGTTCGTTTGCGGTCCGTTTGCGGTCAGACATGGTAGGTCAGCAGCAAGGTGGTTTGTGGAAAGAGGGAGGGGAGGAGTGGGTAGTCACTTGAGTTGGACTAATTGACGTTTGGCTGACAGATGTCAATGTCAAATCGGTTAAATGCAATTCGCCATTTGAATAACGTCAACACAAAAAATACATTAAATGCCTAAAAGCCGCCACTTAAAAACAGTAAATTATTGTGCATACTGAAAACTGCAGGACGAGGCAAGCCTATTCTGGCAAAAAATGTGTTGACATATTTATTCGTCATTTTGTCAATTTATTAGAACGAAATTGACAGTAACAATTAGACTAGATTAAAGTACAGAGCGTGAGTGACGGACATATTGACCCAATAGCTTCGTTCAAGCGGCCTGGCAGAAAAAAATTGGCTTTGATTATCTTGCTGCAAAAAGTTTTTGAGTATACATAAAATGTTTGAGAGTAATCAGATCAATATAAGAATATATTTTGGAATATAACTTGAGGATTTCTTATTTCATCTTGATGAATTTCTGCAAGTCGATTATATATATATATATATTGAAAGAGTTTCCTTTCAAAATTACGGTTTTTAGAGTTACCAGAAAATCGATATACATCGATTCTCACGAAAAAGGGGGTGCTATCGATAAAACACAACCAATTTGAAATGTGTGGTTCTTATAGTCCCTGAGATCCACTTATTTTTACAAATGGCTGTTGATCCTGATCAAGGATATATACTTTACGCGGTCTTCCTTCAGCCTGTGCATACTTTTTAAATTTATTACGCCTTTCTCACCAATTTTGAATGGGCTCATAGTATAAAATATTAAATTGGTATAGAAATTTAAATATAAAATAAATTCATTGTGAAACAAATAAACATATATTGATATCATATGCACAACATAAATTGAGCTTAACCAAAAACAAAACATTATTAATTGTAATTAAAACAACTCTTTTCAGAATTTTGCCAATCTTTCAACAAGTGCATCAATTTGAATTTTAAATTTCATTTTTGCTGTGAATATGCTAATTTGGTCTGCATTGTAGACTCTATAATAACTTTGAAAGCATTTCCACATTTATATATATACATATATATATTTAATATATATTCAAATTAAATTCAATTTCCTGCAAGCTGAGTAATAGTTTTATGGAAACTACAAAATAAATGTTGTACTGATTATAAAATAAAACCGAAAACAATTAAATCTCATTTACTTTAATTTATATATATGTATTATTTTTATAACCAACATTAACATAGATCCAGCTAGCTAAAATCTGAATTCTATCGAATGCCAATTTTTTGCTTTTAATGAGTATATTTAGTATTAATAGTTCAATATTGCAATCTTTTGACTTCTAGCATTTTCTGCAGCTGTCAATGCATGCACAAGCTGAGTGGCATGCTACACAAACCTGCAACATAATACGTTACACAGTGTAAATAAATAGAAGGTAGCCGCAGTATTCCGCATAGATATATATATATTTATATGTAAGTATATACATTTATATTCAACTTTTTGGGGGCTGTATTAAAAGATTTGTCAACTGACAAAGTTTGGACTCTCGATGGCTTCGGGCAGCACTGTTTATTGTGGTCTGGTTGGTCTGCACTTGGGCCAGTTTGGCCAGCCAACGTTGGGCTAATGTCTTTGTAAGTGCGCGTTGCTTGCGTCGCGGAGTCGGAACGTTTGCCAGGATGCCTGGATGCCTGGATGCGAGGCAGTCAGGACAAGTGCAAAAGTTTGGCAAGCGCACATTATTTTTTCATCTTTAGTGTGGAGGCCAAACTGAAAGTAATTTACGCTCGTAAAAGCTGGCAAGCCAAAATGCCAGAGCGAGTCAAACTTTATGAAATTTATATTCCAGCACATGTTGAGGAGGGGGTGCGACGGGGGGTGTGCAGGGGTTGGCTTTTTGGGTGTCTGCTGTTGAGCCTATAAAAACTTCGACAGCGCATTATTTTTGCTTGTTTCTCCTTTGACAACAATGCGAGAATTGGAACCAGAAAGCAGCCATCCCCTCTCCCCTGCCCCTCTCAAAAAAAAAAAAAAACCAGGCGCTACTGCAGAGTTTTCCTTTTTTATGAGAGGGAGGACGGCAGGATGGGATGAGAGGGGGTAGGGGGGACAACAATTTACGTGCGCTGCTAAAGTTCAATAAACGAAATATTTCTGGCCATGATCATTATTTGGCAAACGGAGCGCATAATAAACACATAAAATAAACAAAACTTTTCAATAATCGACTTTTTTCCCTCAAACAGCAGCCCAGCAGCCTAGCAGCCCAGCATCCCAGTCATTGTTTAATGTTTGTTTGTGGCAACGCCAGGATCAGCATCCCACAGAAACAGGACCAAGTTTCAATGACAAATGAAAAAAGTTGTTTGCGGCGATTTTTTTGCTTGCTGCTTAAATAAATACACATTTTTTATAGGCTAGCCAAATAAGTGGACTGGTAATGTTTTAAAGCGCATCAGGACATGCCCCATAAAGGACATGCTGACCAACTATGTAAGCAGCATTGCTCACTGGCACTGAACGCCGACTTGTGTGTGAGTTGAGCACCAACTACACTTTGGAGATTTTGGGAATTGTATCGCAATTTGCATGCACACACACACACACACACACAGTGATGAAACTACAGCCAAAGTCAGCAAAAGTGTTAACAATGCCGTGGGCCAAAAGAGCAAGGGAGGTGGTGAAAGGGAGATATTGCCCCAGCAGCGAAGCGAATGCAAATAAAAAGGCAACATTGTAATTGAGGGAGGGGAGTGGGAAATATATGCAAATTATTCATCATTGCTGATTAGAAGACGCACCACCAAAAAGCATTCACAGGCGTGGGAGAGGAAGCAGACAATGCCAGAAACAAGAGACGAGAGCAGACAGAGATGAGTGTGGAGAGAGCGGAGAGAGAGGAGTGCGAGAAACGCACGCTTGTTAGGCACAATGCGTTCTTGGCACAGGAAGTAGTTAGGAACCAAGAGCACGTTGCTGCCCTGGGAGAGTGCGTGTGAGTGTGTGGGTGTGTGTGTGTGTGTGTGTGGGGCAGATAACTTGTACAAAAGGGCATTGGGAAATTTGCATCCGCTAGGACATCAGCGCTGCTGCGGGGACGGGCAAATGGCAGATTAGTTTTGATTTTTCCGCTGGCCGGAAAATTTCCCTATTGAATCTGTGGCCATAAAGCCGCCAAATTGCAGCACTCAGCTACTTAGCATATTTGAGTGGGCCAGGCGCTAGGATCTAAGGATATGTTAATTTGAGACACACACACACGCTCATCGGAGAGGTGTCTAAATGATGTAGCCCAGTCAACAATGGACCCAAGTGATTTGTGTGAGAGCCGGCATAAATTTGCCCATAAAAATCCTTAGAAGCCACATAACCTCAATTTCTCAGCCGTAAAATTTTGCATAACAATGCATCAAAAAATGAAAAAAATATATATATATGAGCATCAAAAAAGAAAGTGAAAGTAAATTCGGCTAAAAATATATATGTAGATATGAGAGCCATTGCAAATTGTGTCTGGCGGCCTACTTACCCAGTATCTCAACGGTGTGGGTTATTTCGCGTGGCTCCATTGTGGCAATTTGGCATATATAATCGCCGGCATCCTGGGGCACAGCATCACGTATCTGTAGATTGAAGCCGCTAACCAGATTCACGCGCGGATCGGGCGTTACCTTGACGGATCCAGCAGTTAAAATGGCAATGCCCCGTTTCCAGGCAACCACATAAGGCTCTGCAAAATGAAGAGAAGTGAATTATATTGAGGATGAGTACGGAAAATTGCACGTTTTATAATCACGTCTTGTCTGATTCAAGTTAATTGGTGAATGCGACAGGGCAATCACTAAAATTACGCTGAATAGATTGAATCACACAATCAGACACACACAAACATACTGGAGTCCTCTATATATATATACATACGCATAATAAGTATAAGTACTTGCAATATAAATTGAAAAGTCAGAATTCAAATGACTCAATTACAAGGCATTTCAAAAGATCTAAAAGGCTAGAAATTCAATTTGGCATGGACTCGCGCACAACATCAGACACAACAACCACAACGGGGCAAGCAGGCAGGCAGACAGTCACAGACACGTGGAGGGGGAAGTGGTAAGGGAGCTCTGCGTGAGTATGTGTTTCAGTGTGTGTGTGTGTGTGTGTGGTGACAGACACACTCAGTAACACCCACTTGATATCCGCTAATGTGCGGCATTTGCAATCATATGCTAGGCACTCGATATGGTAATAGGGAATGTGCAAAGCGAAAGCGAAGGGAGCAAGCCATTGGAAATTGATACACTCGAAACAAATGGGAGAGTTTTGAGCATGAAATAAACATTGTTGAATTGAAGCCAACGTTGAAAGTTGAAGACTGGACAATTAAACTATTATTAAAGAACCAGCAATTAGTAAAAGTTGGAATTTCATTGCACTTAGTTTACAACTTAAAATCATAAGCTAAGCTACTTGAGGGACGCCAATCAGATTTCTCAGATTAAGTATATGCTTATATGATTTTAAACTAAAGCAAAAAATGAAGTTCCTTAATTGCAAAAATTTGGTTGTATTTTTCTTTGAATTATTTACTTTTTTATATTATTGATTAAGCATAATTTAAATTGGGACTGTTTAGTTCCTTCCCTTTTTTGCACATGAGTTCAGCATATAGTTTTTCGCTGAGTGTTGGAATTCGCATCGATATTCACAGGATGTCAGGTTGCCCGTCACACTGACAGGCAGAGGGACCGAGGGACAGTGAGACAGACACACTCCACATGGCGCATTCATCGAACTCATTAATTGTGATTCCTTTTTCAATTTACGTGTTGTTCGAAGTCGCAAGTCGCGAGTCGCGCACCACGTGCCACGGATGCAGCAACAGAGGGTTGAAGTCGCCCACCATCAGCATTCATGCATACATACATATACATATATTGAAATTAAAATTGAAGTCACCCGGATTTGCTACTAATGATGAATGACTTCCGCGAATGGTGCTCATTAAAAATTAAAACAGCATTTTCGATACACTCGGGAATTGACTATTTTATGTGAATGTATTTCAAGTATTTTTGGCCGAAAAGAGCGTTGAAAATCTAGGCTCCAATGTTCATTATCGACGGGCTTATGCCATGTTAAATGAGGCAAACAGACAGAGCAAAAGACATAGAAAGTGAGATGGGGCGAATTTGATTTCAACACGCACATGAGACTTTTACGTGTGTGTGTGTGTGTGTGTGGGGGAGTGTGTGTGTTTGCAAAGACTCTGTGAAACTTGGTGGTAATAAAATGCTTATGAAGTCATTTACATGCGCATTCAAAAGCGTATTTATTTGCAATGAGTTCAACAACATCAACAAGCCAGCCAACCAGCCAGCCAGCCAACCAGCCAACCCAGCAGGCAGGCAGGCCAGGCACTGTTGAGCATGATGGGGGTAGAGGATCGTGCAGAGAACGACGCAGCCAGCACACACAATCAGATTCACATTCGCATTCACATTCACATTCACATTCGCATGCACTAAGCAGCGAATAAATAAACTAGCGCCACCTGCTGTCGTTTGCATGCACTACGAAAACTGTGCTGCTCGTACAACTAAAACTAAAACCCAAGCAGCTGCCTTCAGAGCGGAAAGCATAATTTGTGGTATTGCTGAGCTATATGGGTGAGGGGAATGGGAGAGGAGTTGGCTAGTGTTTTACCAACTTTTGAGTAGTTTGGCTTCTTTTGGTCTGCCAGTTACCTAACGGCAGGGCAGACAATGGCAACCAGCAGTCTTACGAGCATCCGTTGCAGCGAATTCGTAATTATGTTAATGATAATACTAAAAAAACTATGCCAAATTGCTGAACTAACTCGAGCTTTCAGAGTTTTTTTTAGTAAATTCTGTTAAATTTAAAATTGTTGGATTGTTAAATATCATTTATTTATTTAATTCGTTTTAAATACGTTGTACTAAAATTTTAATTAAGCTTGCATTTCATTTATCCCATATTATTGCAATTTAAATTTTTTAGAACTTATTTATGATTGCAATTAATCATAGAAAATTGTAAATGGAAAAATTAATGAGAAATTGTAGAAAATAATGCGTTTAAATTTTCCAAGGAAAATGTCTCTTTCTGAAAGCTCTAAGTGAAAACATTTCTAGTTATTCTGCATTATTTAAATCAATTTCCGCTTGAGCGGAAATACTGTTTAGTCGTATCGCTATTACAACAATGTAATGTACAATGTAATTATTTCATTGATACTCGGTTATTAAAATCGATTCTGAGGATTTAATTAAGTGAATTGTTTGGCAGTAACTATAATAATAACAAATGATGCAAGTTGCTTACACAAAGAAAGAGTTTGCTAAGCTGAATAGAACTGAGCTGCGAATATGTCATATTCTTATATATGTTTAGTGAGAATAAGAAAAATGAATACGACTTGTAGAGCGGAGGGCGGGTCAGTAAAAAGGGGGCGTTTGCTAAAACTTGGAGTAAATGGTATATCTAGTGCTGCAGTTGCGCTTAAAGTGTGGTTGGTCACTTGTACAATGTGCACTCATCACAAATAATGCACACGACCATATAAATTGCTACCGTCTTTATATAAATCGTTGCATGTGAGTGTGAGTGTGTGTGAGTGTGGGTTAGTGCTGGACGTAACTAAATAAATTGTTAACTAAAATAACAACAATCTAACGAAAACAAGCAAAACACAAAACGCCTCAATTTCCGGTTAAAGTGTTCTAAACTAAATAGAAACACACACACACACACCAACTACTGTGGGACTGCTGTGCAGGATAAGGCTATCCGTTAAGGCGGAAACCGGAGTAAAAGCATTTCGGCTCTTGTGTGTCAGCCTCACATGAGCACTGCTTGCTAGTCATGAACACAACTCCTTGCAACTGGACAAATTGTTGGCCACAGCCAGCCGCATGTTGTGCGCTCAATCTATCTATCTATGTATGTATGTATGTATGTATGTTTGCCTTATTTAGGGGCACAGACAAATTTTAGTTTTCTACACTTCAGACTCAAACAGACACAGATACAAACAGGCAGACAGTCATACTTACACACACACACACACACAAAGGCTGTTCAAATATGGCCGACATTCGCTTTTGTTGTCGGCGCTCTGTTTGTTTGCACTGGCCACACGGTGCGTATGCGCAATTTGCTGTTCGAGCCGAGGCATATAATACTTAAGGACTTGCAACAAGGAGCATTCAGACAGCGCCAGCGAGATAGAAAGGGGGAGTGAGAGAGAGAGAGAGAAAGTCCAGGACCGACATGTTGTTTGTCTGAGCGCAATTTATTGCATGTCGGAAAGGCCAATATTATAAGATGATGACCCCCGAAGATAAACGATTTTGCGGCTAAGCCGACCCATGTACACATATAGGTAGGGGGGTTGGGCAGAGGGAGGTGGGGAGTTTGCCTCAATTTGGCATTATTCTGCAACTTCTTGTACAAGTTTTAATGTGTGTGCGTGTGTGTGTATTAAGTGTTGTGCGAATACGTAAAAAGCGAAATTAGAACTGTAAATGGCATTAATATTGAAACTTTGTTGCTGCTGCCTTGCCACATGCCCAGTTATCACCCTGCCACTCATGTCCCTCTCTCTCTCTCTCTATCTACTCTCTCTCCACCTCTTTTCCTTCTCTCTCCGCTCAGTCGCTGTCCTGCTGTTTGCACAACTTCAACTTTTGCGGCACGATTCCATTTCCGCTTCTCTGTAATAGTTTTAAGCGTTAGCTCCGACTCCACGGGTCTGCTTCCCTCTCCTTATTCCCCCCCCCCTATCCCCCTCCTCTAGCTGCAACTCCAGCGCTCCATCAAAGCGTAATGAGCGTTTTCTCTGTGGCCGTCGTAACTGAGGTTTTTGTACCTTTTTTGCATTTTATTGCATTCAAGTTTGCAGCCAGTTGCTACTTTTTTGCTGGCTTTTGTTGCTGCTGGTGTTTTACTCTTCTTGTTGCTGTTGTTGTTTTTGTTGCGGCCAAAACCATCAACAGGAAAAGGTCTTATGCGTGCTGACAAGTTAAGCACTGGCCTTTGGTAACACAACTTCAACAGCAATTAATTTTTTGAATCCATTCTGGCTCTTTCGCAAATGAAAATTAAAACCCTAAGAATAACCGCAAACATTTTCGATGAATTCACATATTTGATATGCAATTGTTTAATGGCATTGAATTAATATTAAGCAATTGCCTTTGAGGTCAAGTACAAAACTCCAAGCGCCTCACACTTAATTCGTGATATGCTTCCTGACATTTGCAATAAGATAAGGAATTGTTGATTTTATGTGTGCGAAATATCAAAGAAAAACATTAAACTGAGTCCCAATACTTTTTGTTGGAAGACTTAAGCTGTAAGCTACCCTGCTGCAAGATTTTACTCAAAGTGGTTTAGGACTTTCAACAAAGTTTTTATTAACTACTTTATCACCATGAACCACACAGAAACTGATGAAAGCATGTGAAGATAATTAATATATTAACTTATAATATTTGAGTATTATAATTTGGTTGATTCAAGCCGCAAGAGTCAATTAGATGTCTTTAAATCCTTTACGCTCACATATCCGAACATCAAACAGTCATTCAACCCTCATATACCCCATATTATTTTCAAAAGTACAGGGTAATGTTTAAAAACAACCACGCACTTAACAACCAACCGACGTCTTTCAACAAGCAGCACTTTCCATTTATTTCGCAAATTTGATGAGTGCGCAAATATACAAATATGCCTAAGGAATTTTGTGTTAAACAAAATAAAGTACAAGTTGACTGCAAGCCTTTGAGTAAATGTATGAGTACTTTATAAATTCATTACAAACAAAATAATTAAAGAAAATGCGAGAACAAAAACCAATTTACTTAAGCAAATCTAAGATCCTGAGTAGCTACGAGCCTTCTTATCTGATTTTCATCTGATACAGTCAGGAATTTTTGATATCAAAAATTTGGTGGAGTAATTAGAGAAGTTTCCGAAACATCTTTAATACTTATTCTTGTTGTGTGTTTTTTTATGAAGTGATTTGATTTAATTAAGAGTTTGAAATATTTAAAATATGAAGTCAGAAAAATGTTAAATCGACTTTTATTTTAAAAAGCAAAGAAAAGTTGATAATATGGAATGAAAGTAGTTGAATATATTTGTGATCTGATTGAGTGTTTCCTTGCAATAAATGGACCCTTTGTTGTGTTTTGTATTAATTAGTTACTCCTTTTTAATTTTATAAAATTCATTTTGTAGCTTTAATTTCAATTTGGTTTTTTGTTATGCCCTTATCTAAATTTGCAGAGTTTTTTCTTAGCAAATATAACATAATAAATTAGTTAAACTTCTAACTAAGCATTCTCATATTTTTCCATAAGTTCTGTCGACTACAGGATATCATTTGTGTGGTTATTTGTTTAAGCCTGAGTGCGATGTCCTTGCGTGTGTTTGTCTTAGCGGAATTACTTTTGCATTGCATAACCCCAGGCACAAGTGCCGACTAGCATACAAACAAAGGCGACAGAGCATGGTTAGAAAAGGGGGGGCGAATATTACCAGGGGGCGTGGCGGCGCTTGCTAGCGTGCACCTCAAATCGCCCCATGCACATGTGTGCAAAAAATTCAAATAACATGATAAAATGATAATGATGAAATGCTTCAATGTTTATTTAGACAAGCTCTTGCATGTGGATGAGTGTGTGCGAGAGTGTGTGTGAGAGTGTGTGTGTGTGAGAGTGTGTGTGTGAGAGTGTGTGTGTGAGAGTGTGTGCTATATTTCTTATTTACCAAGACATAAGATTACTTTTGCTAAAGTGCGAAGCACCGCAATAAGTATTTAAATGAATTTTCATATAATATGCAAATGAGCAGTCACATGCTTACCAAAGAAAGAGCTAGAGAGTGAGAGACGGAGAGAGCAGATAGAGAGATAGAGAGTGGCGGAGAGGAAGTGAGGAAGACGAACTCATCACTTTGGCTCATTTTCATGTGATTTTCTTTCGAATTTTATGGGCTTTCGTCATAAAATTCAACAGAAATGTGCATAAATTTTGCATTTTCGCTCATCATCACTCCAAATACAAAGCGAAACTGAAGAGGAGCAGATGAACGAGACGTAGCTGGAGCAGCAGGATATAATGCTCAGTGTCTTTTGTTTAGCAGGGGGTTTTAAAAATTCTATCAATTACATTTTTAACTTTATGGCTAAGACATAAAAAACGCCCAAAAGCCGCAGCAGCAGCTGCCAGTCTTAACATATTTGCCAAAGATCCATAAACCGAACCTTATGAAAATTCGTCATGGGTTTGATTTTAATTATTGCACTTAACAGCCAAACTGAGCTGCGACAAAGCCTGTGTGCGCTGAGAAATGTCTCTAATTAAAGTGTCGTATGGTGGCACTTTATTAGCATAGACTGCCATCACAGGACTGCACAGGACTGCTGCACGGGAGCAGAGCATCTATAATTTTCTTTTATTTTTTCAGGCGCTGCTTTCTTTCATTTTACTTTCTTCGTTCGTTTCCTTTTTTATTATTACCCAAATGCCTGTGGCTATAATTCCGGCTTGTGCAAAACTGTTCTATCCTTGTATCGTCTACGTTGTTACTTCCGTCTCCCTCAATTTATATATTTTTTTTCTTGTTGCTTCTTTTGCTTTTCGTTGAGGGGCAATGAAGTGCATGAGATATGCCAAAGAAAATGCCAGGCTCTTTGTTCTCTATGCTGGCTCTAATAAACGGTTGAAATGACCACAGCCATACATATACACACATATACATAAGTATATATACATATATATGTATATAGATATGTATACATATATTAGTTAAGACCATGACAGTTGCCTATACAAGTGTACATACACCATGTAATAATGTATGCCAAGTGTTTTTGGGTCCGAGTTTTTATGCAGCACTTTGTATACAAAACTTGGCCAAGATGTCCAGACAACGACAAAAGCTTCTAGCCTTAACCTTACGAGTGTAATACATTTGTATATACAGATACATGTATATGTGCATATATATTCTGATGCTTACGCTAAATCTTTGTTATGTACAAATAATCTCGCACACACGACCGCATTTAAATTGAAAAACGTACACGGCACATGCCAGCGGTGCAACTACCATTTTCAGTGGGTCCGAAACCCGTAACCGAAACCGGAAACAAAAACAAGTATAAACTAGCCTACACCCCTCGGCATGCTTCCACATAGAGACATCCATCCACTACTTGAAGGTATTTTGGTCAGATGTTCGTCAACGGCTCATCCTTCTGCTTAGTGCTTGTGGCTCCTGGCGAGATCCAGGATTAATGCATTGTTGCGGTCAGTTGGCAGGCATCATATGGTGTAGGGTTAATTATACATATGCATGCATACATATTTATGAGAATGCTGACCGCAACATTTCAATGACAACTGAGTTAAGGAGACCCAAACACACACACACACACATACTATTCCTTACACTTACACTCAGAGAATAATGCTGTTCTGAACTCAAGTTTTAATGAATTGAAAATCCAATTGTTTTGTTTTTCAAAACCATCTGAATAAAGTAACAAATTTCTTCAATAAAGTATTAATTCGTGGTAATTAAATGCACTTAAATTTCAATCTGCTAACTCCCATAAATAAAACGTCCATATCAGGATATTATTTGCTTCCGTGAGCCAACCTAAATTTATACTTATATTAAGTTCTTTCAATAAAAAAAATCAACATTTTTTCTGAGTGTACTGCTATTTATAGTCATGCACACATGCACACATAAACCTATTTCGGCTAAAAACTTCGTACTCAAGCCAATTATTTCAATAAAGAGACAGTTAACCTTTTTTCTGAGTGTACTCTTAGTCATACTCACGCATGCACACACTCTCATTTCAGCTACTCACCCGTATTGGCCACTTCGCAGGGCAGCACTATTATATCCCCGGCGATGAATTTGAATGTCTCGGAACGTGATATGAACATGGGCTCATGCTTGGACATCAGTCCTTGGGCGCTGGCTGCAAACGAAAGGAATTCAAATATTAAATATGTAATACAAAATTCCTGACTCGGTTTAAAATATCAACTAAATTACTCTAAATGTTATTAGCCTAACGCACACACGTAACATGTCAAGCACTTTGCGCTTATGACCAACAACCGAAACATAAGCCAACATCATCAGGCCAAGTGTATGTGTGCGGTGTGTGTGTGTGTGCGTGTGTACGTCTGCCTAATTGGTTTAGGTCATTTTGAGAAAATTTGTCAAATGTCGCAAAAGTTCATAAAGTGCATTTTATTATGCTCGAGGTAATGAAACTTGTCAGATGTTGTCTGACACATGCGTTGTCATTTTGAGCATGCTTATCCTGCATGTCTTGGCTGCAGATTGGAAATATTTTAGTCCATTTGCTGTTGATTTGCGAATCAATTTTATATACATATATATTAGCATATATATGTATGTAAGTGTGTGCAGATGTGCTAATAAAATGTCTGAGCTTAGCACTGAAAGCTTTGAGCAAAAGTGTTAAATTTCACTTAAATACTAAAACTTTTCATATTGCATGCGGCTCTCTTTTGGGATTTGCATTAATTTGATTCAACAATTTTATGGGATTATATACAGATGCAAATTTGCATATTTATGAGCTTAGCGTACGCGGTAAGTTGACCACAATTATTATATATACCACTTGGAAGGGGGCAGCAATTATTTGTCGCTTGCATCATTTGTACCGCTTTCCATTTCAAAGGACGTCCAAACGGAAGCGAACATATCCGGTTACCAGGTCGCCACAGCTGTAATCGATTACTTTCAGTGTGACAATGCAAAAAAAAGCAAAAACCAAAACAAAAAAATGGTCGCACTTCCGAACGCAAACAAAGAAAAACAAAAACAGCGAAAAAAAACCATCAGACATCAGGTTCCCGAGGAGCAGACAGCAACAAAAGTGCGTATAAATAAAATGCCCGGCCTTGCTTGCTGGCCAGGACGAACAACAACAACAACAACAACAACAATAGCAAGAAGCGATGGCAAACAATTTAATACGTTTAAGCGAATGTGTCAACAGGCCAAGCTGGCTTGAGCCTCGGGGCCATGAGCCACGGACCAAGGCCAAAAGCAGACGACGAATGGCCAAGCACTTTTGACACCGTGACAAGACTTGCGAGGTGAAGCGGCCGATCAACGGGGGAGGGGCTGTGTGGAGGCGCAGCTTGGAGCTGGAATTGATTCGATTACGCTGCGGGCACAATAATGAAGTGTCAAATGTTGTATTTATCTGCTGCGAAAACATTCGTGAATACACTCAGTGGGTGAGTGAGTGAGTGCGTGTAAAAAAAAAAAAACAGAAAAAAAAGAGAAGTAGGTAAGCAAAAGTGGTCGCCAAAATGGGAGGACATTGATTCTTACTCCACGAACATCTTCTCCCTTGATGTCACATTTCCGGAATTTCATTTGATTTCGCAAGCAGTTCCTGGCTCTTGCCTATTTTTGTGTGTGTGTGTTTTGTTTTCGCTTCGCTTGCCCCCTGCCCAATGGTAAATATAATTTCTTTTGTATCTGTGCCTCAGTGCGGCTGTCAGTTGTTGTCCTTGCTGCTGTTGCTCCTGCTGCTTCTGCTGCCCATGCTGCTTGCTTCTGACAATATTTTCGCAAGGATAAAGGCGTTGGCAGCACGTGCCTGTGCCCTGTCGCAGTCAGCTTGTCAATCGAATCCTTGATGCGGATAATAACGAAATAATGTTAGCTGAAGAAACTTATTTCTTATGGCATTTTCCTTTTGAAGTTCGTCTTAGAAGGGTTTCCGGCTAGCTATCTCTCTCCCTCTCCCTCTCACTCTCTTTCTCACTGGAACTCTCTGGGCTCCTTTCCGACACTCGACTGCTAATAACCCAAATGACTTTCTGTCACTTGGGCACTGATACACGTTAAATGTGTAGGAAGGAACAGCAGCAGCAGCAGCAGCAGCAGCAGCAGCAGACAAACGTGTCCTCATCCAACAGGGACTCACTAATTGGACTGCCGCACGAGGACCTCAGTGTCGGTCTTTTCTCCTCTGAATGAAAATTAAGGCGTATGTCGCAGACAGCTGTATCTACATGCCCTTAGTGGTGGCATTCGTGTCCATCTAGCCATATTTGTTCAATACAACAACTTTACTAAGACTAAATCGAATTACAAAAAGAATATAATTTTGGGTTTCCGCTTGACCTAAACATTTATTCGATATATTTCATATATATTTCATTTAATTCTTTTCTGCAAATGAAATATTTATTTTTGCTTATAGATTAATGCTACATATTGAAAGATCCTTCTCAAATTTTCTAAAAACGTACAAAATTTGAATGCAGTTTGAACTTTGAGTTCTTGATTAACTTTCTTTATACACGACATTTGCCAAAATAAATAGAAATTGCCTACGCAATTCACATTGCTGTTCAAAACCAGGCTTCAGGAACCTCAGAAAGGAATATCGTCTCTTGTGGTATGTGGTTGGTTTGTTGTACTTTATTGATGTATTGACGTAATTCACAAATCAAGTTTCCTTTACGTTTTTGAATTGGACTGGGTCCGGTTTGTGAACGTCGCTCTGGGGGAAAACTATTCAATTTTAATTTTCAATATGATTTCCAGACGGAGCTTGGGTTTTCTTTTTTTGGCGCTGGACGAGCTTTTTGTTTTTTGCGGTTTGATATTCAAAGTTTTTCCATTAAAGTTATTTGCAGAGAATAAGAAAAGTTTGGCTTACTCACTCACAAACACACACACACACACACACATCCACATTTGCAAATATTCAATTTGAGTAGAAAATTATCAAGCAAGCTCTTTTATTTTTGTGTATTTTTTTCTTTATTCAGTTCGGCAGTTACTCGGTTTGACTTGCCCGCTGACCTTCACGAAAAGTGGAAAAAGTGGGTTCCACCCACCAAAAGCTCAGGGCAGTGTAGAAATTGAAACATTTTTAAGCACGCAAAGTACATAAAATATGAAAATGGTTGCAATTGCAGTTGCAGCAAGCACGGCTGGGCTCAGTTGTGCTGCCGCTCTGCCACTGCCACTGCCACTGTGTGTGTGTGTGTGTGTGTGCCCCATTAAATGTGAAGGGAAAATGAATACGAAAACAACCTGGCTGAGCATTTGCCTTGCGGTGCACCTGGGAATGGGTTCGGGGAATGGACTTTGGATTCGACGCTGCAAGGTAACACAAAAATTTCATTAAACACCGCACCGAGTTGAGCAAAAAAAAAAAATAGAGAAAACAGAGCAAACAAAAAAATAGTTAAGCAGAAGGAGTAAGTAAAAGCATGGCAAACTTTAATCCACGCACATTTGCGAAAGACGCTCTCAATGCTGTCGGCGACCAAAATAACAGCCCGAAAAAGTATGCTATGAAAGAAAATATGGCTGAGAAAAAGTGCAGTGGAAGTTTATCTCGTGGCACTTGCAAAACCAACACGTAATTTTCTTTGAGTGGCCACTTATCTTGCTCTCTCGCTCTCACTCGCTACCTTTCGCTGTCTCCCTCTCGCACTCGCTTGATTATCTGCAGCTACTTCTTGACTAGTTGGCTTGGGCAATGGCCATGTACCAGACGGCTGCATAAATCTCCCATAATTCGAGTAGTCGAAGTCAAGCTCGGCTAGATAGCGGACACGGCATCAAGAATTAAAGCAGGCAGTCGGAGCAAGCAAGTCGAAAGACAGCTAAAATGAGCCACCAAATGCAGCGGAATCAAGGATTACCTATAGTGCACAGGTACACACACACACACACACACACACATTCACTTACACTCACAAAGCTGTGCATGCTTTCAAACTGGTTTTCGTGCCAGCGAAATTGAGTGAAAGCCAAAGTTTGTTGTTGCAACTGTACGTGTAGCAGCAGCAGCAGCAGCAGTAGCAGCAGTAAGCGACCAAACGATACCGCAACCGCCCACTAAAACCGACAATGCCACGCCCACGCCCATTTCCGCCACATGCTAAAACAATCTTAAAAGTTAGCGGGAAAACAATGTGATTGCAAGTGAAATATTCATGAGGTGTAGTACTTCAGACTTTAGACTCGCAACTTGCAACTTGCAACTTGCAGCTCGCAACTCGTAAACTGGCAACTGGCAACGGGCAACTTGCAACTTGGCGAGCCGTAGAAAACGCTATTGCAACTTAAAGGTGTTAGTGTGCTTACCATTGCCAAGTGCAGGGTAAAACTGAAGAGAATGCGCTTTAAAAAGCAAATCGCTAATTTTGCTGCTCGAGCGGCAACAACAACAACACGAACAACAGTTAAAAGCAAAATGCGCTCTCTGTTTAAATTGATAGTAAACTGACTTGTAACCAGAGCCCATAACACTCGCTCACATGTGGCCCATAAAATCTTAAGTTATGCCGAAAACTGTTGGCCAGCAGTAGCAGCAGCGGCGGCGGCGGCAACTGTTGGAAAATTCCTTTAACAACCTCGGCTGTGGTTGGAAAACACAGTGTTTTCAGTTCCTGCCCCCTTGTTCGGCTGCTGGTTCTCAAACAATGTGCAAACTTGCAAATCTGAAAATCAATACAAGTTTTTGGTTCGTGTGCGGGCTTCTTTTGCTTTGCACAAATTTAACAGTATGTTTTTTATGCATATGTATTTATTCATTGAGGCAAATCTCAAAATACATTAAAATAACTTTGTCGTTTGGAAATGTGGAAATCCATTATAGACAAAATCTAATTCTCTTTTAATTTTCATGAACTTTCGAAATGTACAAAAAACGAACGTTAAAAGTTAATAATGGGAAAATCTGGAAGCAAAAATGATGCAGAAAGCACAACTCTTATTTTTAATTTAAAATTCGTATTTTTAAGCACATTTTGCTTAAGCTTCTGCTGTTGTTCACTTTTATTAATATAGTTTTATTAACATCAATATTTGTGCTAGGCATAAATAAATAAGTTGTCAAAATAGATTGAACATATAAATAATTGATGTAAGAGTTATTTAATACAATTTTATATTTTAAAG